GGATTAAAAAAAAAAAAAAAAAACAGAGCAGAAAATAAACTCATCACTATAAATTGATAGAGGTACAAGGAAGAGCTCCACTGAGTAGGACAGCACTGCAATTTACAAGTTTTTGCCAACTAGAGATAAAGCAAATGAGAAACAGCTCCCCAGAATTATGAAACTTGAAATAGAAGCTTTGCATACAGGATGTGTACAAAAAAAATAACAGGTCAGTGATTTTTTTGCTGTACACAACTTATGTTGACATGCTTTAACTGAAAATGCACTCACATTTAAAAGCCTTACAGGTTGGGGCCATGACCTATTATTTTGCAGGGTATTTGGAAGTACTACATATGTGAGCAGAACAATTGTATTTGCTACACTGTTGGTTCCTAACAGCAGGTCTGAGGCACCAGGCTTACTGCTTTTGGAGCTATTTTCATTGGCAGGTCTCAGCATATGAAAGGCACAGGCATTTTCTGTGAAGTATTAAAAATGTCTGGGTGCTGTCCACACTACTCCTGTAACATGTGAGAAAAATACACAAATGGAGGAAAATGCAAAAATATCAAAGCAGGAGAATAAAATTAAAAGACCAGCAAAATAAAGACCTTCATGTAATAGCTGTGTGACTGAAAACAAAATGGACTACCTCGACAACTAAAGAAAACCAGCAATACCTAATTTTCAGAAAAGTGTGTTGTTTGGGGACTTCTTTAAAGCAATAGCAAGCCATTACTAACAGGAAAAAAAAATGCAGCAGCAACAATACTTTTCTATTTTCAGTTTCTGGTGTACAGAGACATAGCCACTCTGCAAAATTCATTCTCTGGGTTAGCAGAATATCTCATGAGCATTTGAATACTCAAAAAAACATTTCTTCCACAGCGTCAAACAAAAATCAAGTGGTGTAGGATCTGAAAATTATAACAGCAGGTCAAATCTTTTAAAACCCTAAGTATAACTGAGAAAACAGCACAAATTGAGAATATGTTATATTATGCATATCTAACTCTGTATTTTTTACATATGGATCAAAAGGAGGTTTTTCTCTAGTCTGTTCCTAAAAGGATCACAGTTGTGTTAAACAGGCTACAAAGATAAGTTGCTGCTACAGAACAATCCACTGATAAAAACAAAAGGTGACAAACCTACCTTAACCCATCACCAAACAGTCCCTGTTCTATAAAGATTCCAGTAGAATATTACCACAGGTCTCAATTGCAACACCCTTGGTATTCAGTCACAGTATTAGGACCACTTTTAGGACTCCCTATAAAACCTAAAACCGGTTGGTATCTCTTAAAAAAAGCTTCACCAAAAAAGAATCTCCCACAAACAACATGGAGAAAGGCAGTCACTGAAATTCTCTGTTATTTAACTGTGTATATCCTTGTGCTAGGCCTAGTTGCACCAACAGCCAAATTCAGTTGCAGCTCATGGTCTACAAACCTCTGCCAGCTCTCTGGCAGTGGCTGCAACATGGTATTTTGTACATGCAAGAAAGTTTCTACACAATCAGCTACAACATAACCTGTAACTTCACTCTAAACATCATCCATAGGACTATAGTATTTATTTTTACAAGTAATTTATTTACTAAATTGTTTTATCCAAATGTAAATAATATACAAACTCAAGGGTAATAAAAACGTGGAAAAAAGATCTGGAGCACAGGCACCCTTCAGAGAGAGAAGAGCAGGAAGAGATGAAAATTTGGTTTAGAAGTGCTTCTGTTCAGGAAAAGAAGTGTCATTGACCTGTCCTCACTTCAGCTTTTATTTTTCAATTCTGGAAGTTAAAGTACATTAGCAGGTGAGCAAGATACTCTCAGGCATGTGGTGTGACTCTTGGGGATGGTCCCCTGCAGGGCCAGGAGCTGAATTTGATGATCCTCGTGTGTCCTTTCCTGCTCAGCATAATCTGTGATTCTGAAATTTGTATGAGGAAGGTAACAGGCAGGATGAACCAAAAAAGCTTCCAGATTTCATGAAACTTTCTATAGGGAGCAAATTTACACACAGGGAAGAACCTAATTGCTCTAACTTCCCTGCTGAAAACTACTGACTGGATAATGCCTTCAGCCACAGAGACTGGCAGAGTTCAAACCACAGCTTAGAGAACTTATCCAGCCATTTACAAATGCACAATAAATGGGAAACTTCCCTCAGCATTTTTTTAAATGCAAAAAAGACTTTCCTTGATTCTGTCAAAGTTTAAAAATACTGCAAAACTTCAAACTCAGTACATACATAAAACATTTCATTGATAAAGAGCACACAGGTAATTATGCAAACCCCTGGTTCTTTATGCTAGCTTCATAGGATACCTCATAAAAGGGCTTTTTTTTCTTAATTAAATCAGCGAGCATGCACTCAAGCATCCTTACCACAGTAAATCAATTTGTGTGTACATTGAATGAAAGCAAATTCAAGATATAAACACACCACAGAACTGATTTCACGTAAGGCGTTATTATAAGCAGTATGAAAAGTGCTTTTAAAAGCACTGTAAGAAACACTTTGACAGTGCTCCTTTAAAAATGGATTTAAAGGGAGGTTGATACCTTCTTCCAATCCATAGATAGATCTGAGCACCACTGTAGCAAAGAGCACAGAACTGATTTTTACTTCAGATGTACCAGTAAGATTAAATTGATCCTTGCTCACTGTACCATGTAAAAATCAACAGAAAAGCTAAAGAACATGGAAAAACCAGGGGAATCTGCAGAGGAAAAGGTCACAGATACATGTAGTTTGAGAAAAAAAAGAAGCCTTTTCCCTAAATACCTACATGCACTCTTCCACAACCCCATGCTATTGTTATGAAAAGCTCCTTATGATTTTAAGAGACAGGAGTATGCCAAAGGCACTGTATGCTGATAAGAAATAACAGCTACTATAGCCACAGAGTGCAGCTCATATAGTCTGCTAGAACACAAACCTACAAAGACAAACCTGATATCCCTACCAGTAACTTTGACATTTCCTGCTTTGGAGTATAATAAAACAGAATTTGGTGCTGTTGAACAGGAAACTAAAGGCACACACAAAATGCAATATTGATGTCCTCAGGCCTCCCACTGTGACCCAGCTGTAGCCAGGTGCCCCTTCCAACCCAGCTGCCACCACTGACTCAGTGCCACCTTGGTACCCTCTGAGGGACAGCTGTCCACAGGCAACTCCAGATGTCCGTCTGCAAAGAACCAAATATTCAAGGCTGTCAATTTCACATCCCATAACAATAACAGCTAATAAAACAGACAAGAGTTTTTAAGCCTTTATGCCTACATTCATCTGCAGAGAAATCCTTTCCAACTTTGCACGGCTCCGAAAGGGTCTAAAACAATGTGGAAGGCAGCAGCTGAGAAACTGCTCTTTACGACAGCACAGGTGTGACCACTCGCTCCTCCTCACCCTCCGCTGTGACCACTCGCTCCTCCTCACCCTCCTCCAGGCACAGCCTACCCAGCAAAATGCAATTTTCACTGCCAGGTGAGCGGGGTCTTGCCCCAGCTTCCCATCAAAGGCAGTGTGGGGAGGCAGCGAGCAAAGAGCAGGGGTGAAGTGACAGCCAGGACAACCAGCCCCAGCAGCATCGATAGAAGGTGACAAACTACGGCCTGAAAATCCCAAGGTGCCCTCAGGGAGTGGGGATGCCAATGGGATGCTGGTCCTCCTCCCTTGACACAGGCCATGGAGTTTTGGGGATCTACTGAAGGCATGCTTAAGAACCATAAAATCACAGAATAAGCTGAATTGGAAGGGACTCACCAGGACCATCGAGTCCAACTCCTGGCCCTGCACAGGACACTGCAAGAGTCACACCATGTGCCTGAGATCATTGCCCAAACACTTCAACTCTGACAGGCTGTCAGGCTTGCCTGACGCCACTTCCCTGGGGAGCCTGTTCCAGTGTCCAGCCATCCTCTGGATGAAAAACCTTTTCCTAATATCCAGCCTAAACCTCCCCTGCGCAACTTCAGGCCGTTCCCTTAAGTCCTGTCACCAGTCACAAGAGTGAAGGGATCAGTGCCCTCTGCTTCCCCTCTCTTTACATTGCGCTGGGTGCATATATACACGTACATATTTTTATAATTATCAGATTTCCCAGGGAGAGTGCTGCAAGTCCCTTTACACGACCCGCCACAGCACTGCTCACAATCCTCCTGTAAGGAGTGCGGGCAGCGCGGGATTCCCCGCGCAGCGCGGCCCGAGGGAACAGGGACAGACCCCGCGCTGCCCTCGGGCTGCGCCGCCCGCCCCGCCATGCCGGCCCTCCCGCCCGCGGGCTCCCCCTACCTGTCCGAGCAGCCGCCAGCGGGCTCGGGCCGCCGCCGCGCCGCTCGCCCCGCACCTGCCCGCGGCGGGGCGGCGCGGGGAGCCGGCAGCCTCGGCCATGCGGCGGCGGCAGCGTCGGGAGATGGCGCGGCGGGAGGAAGGGAGGGAGCGCTGTCTTGGGCGGCGGGGACGCGCCGCTGAGCATCCAGCGGCTGCGGGACCGGCCGGGCTAGGGATGGAGAGGGAGGAGGGGCGCGGCCATCTTTGCTAAGGGCAGCGCCGAGCGACCCTTGGAAGCCGAGGAAGTGCGGCGCTCTTCAGGCCCGGCACGGCGGGAACGCGCCTCAAGACAAATCGCCCGTGGCCTCCGCGCCCGGGGACGGGATTGGGTGTGGCACGGCAGCCACCCGGGAAAGCCACGCCAGGGACCGTGCCCGCCCGCCGCGGCTTCGCGTCCCGGCGCTGACATCAGCGGCGCTCGGCCGCTGAAGCGCCTTGCCGCCATCTTAGCTACGGGCAGCGCCCCCGGGAGCGCTGCCGCCCGCCCGGTGTCTCCTCCCGGGCTGTCCCGGCCCAGCGGGAGCGGGAGGAGCGGCGGCAGCGGCACGGCGAGGCCTTGCACGGCGACTCCTTGCACGGCGAGTCTTTGCGCGGGCCGCGGGCGGACGGGCAGCGGGAGCGGGGCCGCGCCCGTTCCAGGCGGACACGGGGGCCCGTCCCCTGCAGCGCTCCTGCGAACGGGATTCAGCTCCTGCTGCCCAGGGACCCTCGGGAGAGAGCGTGGGTTTGGTGTTGGATGGTGGGGAAGTAGCGGGGGACGCCTTCCCCGAACTTTCCCGGTGTTCTGTCACTCAGCGTTTGGACGTGCACGGTTGCACCTCCTCCTCATAGTGTCACTGGAGTTAAACTTCGGGCCGCCAGGAATGTTCAAGTTAAAATTTGGGTGCTAGTTTGTTAACGAAGTTTTACTTATTTTCTTGTTTAATTTACCTAGTGAATCAACCACATTTCTTTGAAAGAGGAAGTTTACGGTATGTCTATTTCATGTCTATTTCATGTCTATGTATGTGTATTTACACCTGCAGTTTACATTATGTACATTTCACACACGCAGTGTAAATGATCGGCAGTTTGGGATTTTCAGAAATTCCAGGCTGGCTTTCAAGAAATGAAGGTTAGGATGTGCTGTGCTGGACTGCGGAATCTTCTCCAAGGGCTGAGCTTCAGTGCCAAGTACTACTGTAAGCATAACCTGCCTCAAACAGTATGTCCTTACAGTAAAATTGGACCCAAAAAGTGCCACATCCTGAACTGTTCAAAAAGTACATCATGCACCCACAGGACTGCACCACCTGGAAGCATCCTGCCGTGCAGATTTTTTGCCTGCAAGGTATGCTGTTTAAGTATAGACCTAATACCAACAACCACCTTGGCATTTCTGTTAAGGGACCCAGTCATACTTTCCACACGTTGAAGAAACACATTTTCCCAGAGAATTTTAAGCAGAGGAATAAAGTCCAGGATATCAGTTACGTTCAAGGACATGTACCATTGTTGAGCTTTACCATGCTGTTTTGACATAAAGCTGCATTTTTGTTGATTTTCCCACTATAGTAATTTTGAAAATATTGGTACCTTCTACACTTAAGTAAAGTGTCTGGAAAAATCTACAGGGAGAGGTGAGCTAGTGTAGAGGCAAAGTGTCCAAACTGATGATACCAGACTGTGAGCTGGCTCAAAAAACATTTGACTTTTCTGGGTAGACCAGTAAGTCACGGTTTCCATCATATTAAAATATAATATTGACATCTCATAATCATGCTCACATGTTCTAAACTATATTTTAAAATGTATTTGCATTGATTTCTGTAAATGAATATTGTATAATTGGACGGCAGTATATCATACACAGAGTCATAAAACAGTCTAAAATAATTTTAGGTCTGTCTCAGTGTCTCGAATACAGATTGTGCTAGAGGTATTATGAGAGTTTACTGCAGTATGACAGCCTGGAAACTCATTTATATGTATAAGTACTGTTTAAACAAGATGTATGTTTTGGTTTATTTGATCCTAAACATGGTTTCAGATGGATGCCTGATCGCCCTAAAATTGTTTCAAATTGACAATGTTTCTTCAGAGGTGACACAAAGTTCGTCTTGTTGTAACTTTTATTTGTCACCATAAAGTAAGGAGTTCCTGTCTCAAATGTGGGCAAATGTCTTAAGGAGAACACAGGAGTTCTGGAGGGACAAGAATGTGGTTCAGTTTACTCAGTGGGACTTGACTAACACAAACGTTGCAAAGGCTGCTCTGTGACACTGGTCCCAGGATGCAAACTTGGTTTTCACCTGAAAGGAGGCTGTGCCTGTTTGCTTTGGAGCAAATGTTGGCACACCAGTTGTCACTGAGATCCTCTGCTATCCTGAAAATCTTTCTAGATTACTGGATTTTTCCCAGGCAAGGAGGTGTACTGTACCTCTTACTATATATATCCTTAGACTGTGACCACCAGCTGTATATAATATTTCCAAATGAATATAATTGCTGAAAACAAAAGGAGGGCAATCATCAAATGATTCATAAAGGCTGGAACTTATCAAAATAAATTGTGGATGCTAAAATTTTACGTAGGTATAAGAGGAGATGTATATATATATGACATCTATGAGAGAGACTTTTTAAATATCCAGAAACCATGTTCAGGTAAAATTGTTTAAGGCTGGGGAAAATCGTGTGTCTTGTCCCATTCTTATGTTTTCATAAGTATCCATTTATGGCCACTGTGACGTTTTATTTGGTTGCATCATGTTTGGGGGATGGTGTTCTCTTACAATAGTTTTTCCAGTGGCTGGGGTGAAGTGACAGATCTTTGGTATCCAGCAGTTTGTTTCTCTTGACCAATCAATCAGTTGCTCCAGAGCTTCTCTAAGAGTCCTTAATGGAAAGTGAGGATAGGATATGGAGCATATGCTGCTTTTTAAGCTTAGACACATTCAAGTCATACACTGAATGTTATAAAATGTAGCTTTGTGTGATCTGTGCAGTGGTATGTAGCGTAATATAAGTTGTGAAGCTTACTGCTTGATCAAGTGAGATTTCACAGCATGTAAGAGGAAGTAGCATTGTTCTAGCAGTTTTAACACACTTTTAAGATTTTTACAATAGGAGACAGCTTTGTAGGCAGTGAGGTAGCAGTAATCTCTCATTTAATGGAAAACCAGATCCTTACATTTATTCCTGATAAAGTTGTTGCAGAACCCATATCAGTTCACTCTTCACTTCATTCTGCACCTTATGAACATTTACATTAACACTTCTGAGGAGGTAGAGCAAGAACCTGAATGAGCTGCTAGGAGTCGTAGGTACAGAGGTAGTGTTATCTAGGAAAGGAAATGAGAAATTAACACTCTAAATACATGAAATTATGAAAGAAAACTGTGAAGAAGGAAAAATAATAAAAGTCATAAAAAGTAAAACCTAGTTCTAGAACAGGAACAAACACATTTACTTATAATCAATTAAGAGAATATATTAATAGTACCCTAAATTTTGAAGAATATACCTCAATAAATGTGTCAAGTAAAGCACATCCAGTGCATCCCCAAATGATCAGGAAGAGTTAAAATAAAACATATTCCAACTGCAGTTGTTGATTTTATTGGCATGTACTTTTGTAATACTGCAAAGATGATTTTGGGCCTGTGGCTCGGGATATTGCCTCAATGTGTTCAGATTGGTGTGCAGTGTGCTGGCTTGTAGCCATTCTTGTCTTTCCTTACTTAGCAGGAAGGAACAAAAGTCCCTTCCAAAAGGAAGCAGAATACAGCCATAGTAACTTCAGACCTTTTGCACAAGAACCTTCTGAAATCAGAGCAAAAAAACTGGGATAGCATTTCACCTACATACAAAGCTATGACAAAGAGAATCAAAGAAAAGCTGGAAGAATTGCACAACATGTACACACTCAATTCAGGAAGCCCAAGGGTAAGTGGCAAACAATACAAACATTTCCCATCACTGACTACAAATAAAAGACAATGAATAGACAGATTACAAATAAAAAATAGTTCCTGCTATAAAATGCTGTTTTACTCATTTTTTACAGTAGAAGTTTTAAATATTTTAATAATTGTGTGTAGTAACAGTTTGTGTTTAGAACAGCTTATACCTGCTGTGACAGTGAATTTACCTTAATTTCTCCATAGGCAAAAGCAAGTAAAGATAAAACAATCAGACTTTTGGATAAAGAATACAAGACATTGTAAGTTGCAAGAACAGTTGCAGGTGATCTGAGCCTTCTGTGAAATTTAGAGCAGGTAGAGGTAGCTTAAGTACCCTAACTGAAAAACCTTTCTGATGTGTGCAATTCCTTCTTCAGTATGGAATGTATGTTCTGTCATTTGTTATAATTTGTTACAATTCTGCTGTACAGAAAAATGACTGTATATAGGGATTCAAAGGAGTCTAATTGTATGCTGGACTTGAAATATGTTTGTTTGTATTGAACAGATGAGGTTGGGAGAGAATGTGTACTTTGAAGAGAATGGCTGCATATTTCTTGCAAAAGCAGATGATGGTAAGGGATTTCTCTTCCTAATATGGTAGGATTCTTAAAAAAGGTAGACATATATAACTTTGTGTTCTTTTCTTGCATTAATGCTCGTCTGTTTCTCAACTAAAAATACTTTTATATAATTCTATAATAGACTAATAATTCTAGAATCCTGAATCTGAAAAGGTGAGGTAAAGAGAGTTATAGAATATATTGATACTAAGGCAAGTAGCTGGAGAGGAAAGATAGGAGACGCTTGTTTTCAGAGCCCTAACAACATTTTGAAAAAAGGAAAAGAACATCCATGCTTTTTTATTTCTGAGGTGGGGTGAAAGAATTTCTAATTTTATTTATTAAAAACAACCATGCTTTAGCTATCTGAGCTTTAAAATTCAGTATGTTTAATAGAAGCCAAGATCTACACTTTTGAAATATTTTTAATAATAACTACAGGACTTTTTTCCTTGGAACTATAATTTTTTGTTTATTTTTACAAAGTGCATTTGCAAATATCTTGGTGTTGATAAATTCCAGTAGAATGTTTTTGAATATTGGAGACGCATTTGTTAAATACAGACATTAAGAATCACTGTTCATTTTGACAGTGTCTTAATTACAGGATTTTTTTTTTTTTTTTGCTATCTCCTTTTTCTATATAGTAGATGAAGGAAGTGCTGAGATTTTATTCAGTGTTGAAGATCTTGGCTTTTCTGATGCCTTTATTCAACGGATCAGAATTTCACCAGATCACAGATACATGGCCATCAGCTTAAAAAGTGAAAATTCTGAAGAGGCAACCTGCATTATTATGAAACTTGGTAATCTTGTTGCTGTGGAAAAAGTAATTCCAAGTGTATTTAGCTTTGGTAAGTTGTGAATATGTGTTGTAAATATCCCGTGGATCACACAAGCTTTCAACACATTTTTATTAGTTTAAAGATAATACTTTTTTTTTTTTTTATGTGAAAGCAACATTTAATCCCTATAGATGTTGCATGGTTTCTTATGGTTTCTTTAACACTGCACAATTACAGGTTATGTAATATGGATGAAAGGGGCTGCTTCCTGGATACAAGTTTTCCTTCACTCTAAAAGCATTTATACATGTTAGCAACAGCCATGCATATAATTTTTTCTATTGAATCCAATATGATGTATTCAAAATATAGTGACATGACTGTTTGTTATACAGAGATCTTTCTGAGGGATGTTCTAGCTGGTAAACCCTTACAGCTACCACTGAAGTCGCTGGTAGCTGCAGACAGCTTTGATTGAAAAGTGTGGAAGTACTACCTACTACTGAGTATTGGCTGGAATTTCACCTGGAATCCAGGATGTGGGTCAGACTTCAGAGCCCAGTGAAGTCAGCCAGGCCTTGAATCATTTTTTTTAGAATAGACTACAGAGCTTTATGTTGCTTTTAAAAGAAGCAGAGGTAAATGGAAGTGAATGGGAAAACATTATCTTTTTATAGTATGTTAAAGAATATAATAAAAAAAAAGAGTAGAATAGTATATATACAGTGTTCCACATCTTGTACTTTGGATTATATTGCTAGATGTTATCAAGTATATCTAGTGCAGTAAGCAATTTGCCTGGGCAGAGCAAAAAAATAAAACTCTAGGTAAAATTTCCTTGTTAAAAAAAATGAGGAGTAGCAAGAATTTAGTATTGTGTTTCACAATGAAGATTATAATACCTGTTGAAAAATAAACATACAAATTTGCAAGTGACATTTTACACCATGCTTGATTTGAACATCTATCTAGGTTGATCCAGAAGAATCAGTACAGTTAAGAGACCAACATCCTGTATCCTAAATAGGTGTGGCAGGTAATAAGAGTACAAAAGACAACTATCAGAATGGTAAATTCTGTAAAGTTAAGTCAGGTGTGAGGTACAGAGGTAGTATCATAAAGCACAGAGGTGCCTCAGTCATGACCAAGAGAATTAGGTCTTAAAACCACTTGGAAAGTTTATGTGTTTGTATTGAGTGATATAAAATAGCAGGGAGACTGACAGAAGTTCTTGAAAATTTACACCTTGATTTTTCTATAGGCTAGGCTACAGAAAAACTTGGATTGGCCCTCTAAAGGCTTTCTTCATAGTGAATCCTCAGCTACCTGTGTACATTGGAGCTACATTGCTGTTCAGAAAATGAAGTGTTTGTGTTGTTTTGGTGTTACTAATTCCTTGGGTTTTGTACTGAAAGTCAGTATGCATAAGATAGCATACAGCAGCTTTTAAAAGCATATGTGTTAAACATCATTCTGTTGGCTGTAGGAACAGCAGAGATGGCAGGAATGTGGCTGGGTCAGTCAGAATAACTCCAGAATAATAAGGTGCCTGCATTTATACCTTTTTATGTTGGTGAACACATACACAAGCATAGAAAACTGGAGAATTTTTATCTCAGCAGTACCCATGGGGCACATGTATCATCTCTTTTCTCTAAATGGCTTGTGTGCAGTCACATGCAGCAGTGCAGAGCTTATGATGTCTTTATTATCTTGCTGACTCCATGTAAACCTCTTTTTCTCTGCTGTTTTAAACAGCCACGTCTCCTATTTTCCTGTTATCTCCAGAACCCACACAGGGTCAAGAGCTTCCTATTGCTGGGCCCTGCAACATTGACCTCTGCTTTTTTTTTGCTTTTTTTTCCAATACATTATGAGATTCTTGTTCTGTGGTATTCAGAGAAAACAGGGAAAAACCTTTTGGTTCTTATTTCAATCCCCACAGGATGCAGAAGTGCTGTCCTCAGTTCCATGCCACCCACAACCCACCTTTTTCACCTGGGTCCAGTGTCCATGGGACTCCCATCTTCTCTCAGTAATACTATACACTCTTCTGAATTTGATATGCACTTGTCTTTTTTTCCAGAATGGGCTGCAAATGATGTTCTATATTACACAACTCAGAAGAACCTTAAATGCCAGAATGTATTCATGACCACTTTCACTTACCAGAAACATACTAAGTTAGTTTACACAGAACAAGATGCAAGGTAATACATACCTAAAATATAACAAGTCCTTTACATATTTCAGAGTATTTTATATGTAAAATATATCTGTTTTGGAAAATAAAGTGTTCCATATCGTATTTCAAACAATAAAATGCATTTTTGTGTTCTGCTGTCAGTAGTGCCTTATATAGCCTGAGAACGTGCTCTGTTCTCCTTTTGATATGTGATCAACAGAGATTTAACTTTCTTACCTCATGAGTTCAGCTGAGTTTATAAATGTCAAGGTCACTCTCAGGTCAGGGTGTCCTTTAATGAATGTGTGACAGTTTCATACAGGGTAAATCAGACCGTGGATTTCATTTTGTTTTCTCTGCTATTGATGTCTGATACATCTTTTAAAAAAAATACAGAAGTTCAGGCTAATCCTTGCTCTGGGTAATGGATGAGCAAAATCATTACAACATTCCAAGAGACAGAACTATTGTTGACTGAATACCCTCTCAATAACCTTTCTTTAAGCAGTGCTTTAGGAAGACAAGAAGGCTCTTTGCTAAATTGAGCACAGAACTAGCTTTTCAGCATTGTAGCACATGGTGTATTTATACAGCATTCCTGAAATATTTGTGATTATTCTTAATTCAAGTTACATATTCAGTAAAGAAATTTCAATTATACTTTCATCAGGGGAAGAAAAAAAGAAAACAAAAAAATCTGCAATGGAGATAGAATAAATAAGATCTTTTTTTTTCCAGCTGTATTTGATGCATAGTTTTGGAAAATCAAGTTGCACTGACCTGGCACTTCCCCACAGGGAAACTGTTGGCATAATTCTGAAGGTCACGGTCATTACAGTAAATCTACTAGAAACTTACTCTAAAGGTTCATGTGTTATTGCAGCTCATAGCTGAATTCCTTCATCGGAGATGGCAAGATATTCTTTTGTATTGCCATTGAGCAGTCCTGTTCTGCATCTCACCAGCTCTTCTAGTTGCCATCAGATACTTTGTTAGAAGCTGAAAATTTCTTGAATTTAAAAAAAAATCTACAAAGATAAATTTGTAATATCAAGGTCATAATCCTTGGGGAGAAGAGTAATATGTATTTCAGCTCAACCCTCTTAGAGGCAGGATCAGCAGAGCTGAACTCTTGGAATCTCTACTCAATGCAGTGCCACATTCTTGCCAAATTCATGGGTATTAGACAGGCAGGAGGCTGATTTTTCTTACAGACTTTAGCTCCCCCTCTGTGCCTGTCCTAAAGATGTCAAGAGGGTGCAATTAGAAAAAACAATAGTACCCAAAAAAATTGAGATCCTCCACCTGCAAATAATTAAAGGCACTGAAAATGCTATCTAAAGCATCCTTTTCTTCACAAGTCAAATACTCTGTATCCTAGAGAGATCATCATTGCAGTCATGTATCTGATCTGTGTGATGCAGCTTACGGTACTAAACCCTGCATTTTCTTGATGGAATTTGGATCTTTGTGTTGGACAGTTTTGCTTTTAGAGACATCCAGTCTTAAGGGTTCAAAACGGCAAAGAGACTGTTCTGATCCAAGATGTGAGATTCCAGTTAATTAGGATGACTCACAGAAGTTTGAATCTGAATTTCAGCCTGAACTTTACTATTAGCATCCAGCCACTGGTTATCATTCTGCTTCCTGTTTCTAGATTTTAGAGAGATTTAAAACCAGTAGGTACTTCCGAGTTTCTTAGTTCCAAAACCAGTTCCTTTTTTCCAGCTTTATCACTCCAACACTGTCCATCTTGCCTCATATAGGCCTCTGTGCTTTTTTTCTTTTTAAACTGTACTTTTTTTCTTACTTGCTTCAGACAGTTAGGTCAGTAGCACATAGACATTTTATCAATTTATTTTTTAATAGCTCTTACTTTTGTTATTGCTGTTCCCACATGATGTCATATATTATTTTAACTATCCATTACTACTTTTTTTTAAAAAGCGTTACAAGTTCAATAAAAAAGTTCTGCATTTCGCCTGAATTTTAAAGCCTGTACGCAACAATGAGCTTCCAGTCTAGCTCAATGATGCAAAAACCCGGATTTAGTTGGGCAACAACTGAACTGCTTTCCTTGCAGATTTCAGGTTTCACACACAAGATTGAGGGGTTTGAAATCCCAGGGTAAATGCAGCAGAAGTGGCTCTGGGAGCCAAGTAGCCTGAAATTTCTCCAGTCTGCTTACAGGAGTGCTGTTTCTTACCTTGCAGGTGGAAGCCCATGGTTCTGAAACAACTGATGTATTTTAAAATACTGATAAAATTTAAGCTCCTTTTTTTTTCTTTCTTTTTTAATGATTCCCTACAGATTCTTTGTAGACCTTTATTGCACAAAAGACAGGCGTTTTCTCACTATCAACAGCAACAGCAAGACAAGCTCAGAAGTTTGGCTGGTTGACTGCAGACATCCCTTTGAGCCACCTGCTCTTGTACAAGCACGAACCAAAGGGGTCATTTACCACATCGAGCACAGAAAGGACCAGTTGTACATTCTTACTACATATGGAGAACCTGCAGAATATAAGGCAATTTTGACTGATAATTACATTCATAGGATTAATTTAGATACCTATTGTAGGTCATATAGAAATAGTAAGGTTGGCTTTGAATTCTGCTCGTTACAGCTTACTGAAATAAATTAAGAGAGAGAGCTGCATGAATTAAAAAGATGGATAGTGCTGCATGGAGTCTCACCTGTTGGAGGCCAGTTTGATCCTAACTCCTTTGACAGCATCAAGAAATGACTATGCTTCAACAGTCATTTCCCCATATAAAAACTTAAGTTGGTGATCTCAGTCTATATAATCCAACCAATTGTGCTGGCCATGCTGAAAGCACTTAGTGTATTACAGTCTTCTGTAGAGTAATCTTTGAGACTTGGTCTTCTCTAAATGTTACTGCATTGTTCCTCCATTTTGCCTAAGTAAAGGGAGTTTAAAAATCTCCAGTTTTAGACAGGCAAACACCCCAAATACAAGTAAGTATTTTTTTGCAAGAAAAATGGTGTATGAGATCACCTGTAAGTCTGTGCCTCTCATTTGTAACACTTACTACATTTTAGTAATACAAGGTTGTTTGTTTCTTTACAGTTGATGAATGCACCAGTAGCTTCCAGTGGCAAGGAGAACTGGCAGTTAGTTTATGCACTGGAAAAGAAAACCAAGCTGGTAGACTTTGAGATGTTCAGTGATGACTGTGTTATGTTCCTGAAGAATGCTGGCCATCTTTACTTAAATGTGATTTCTTTTGTTTCACACTCAGTTCAATCAATAAAGGTACGTTTTAGCTTGGGTTAAGCAGCATAATATTTTTCCAGTTTTTTCTTTTTTGTTTTGTTTTTTAAATAACATAATGAAAGCAAAGATGAATTCCAAAAGTAAAAGCGTTTTGGAAACCATTAGTATTGGGAATGTCATCATTATGACTAACTGTATTACCTTGTGGCTGTTCTTCAGGATTTGATGTGGTGGCTTATTGCAGCATTTGGAAGGTTAAAGAGCAGCTATCCTGTGAGCCAGCCCTTTCTTCAACGGATTACAGTCAAGCTCTTCACAATACAGCTAATTTCTAATTTCTAAAACAGAACTTAGTTCCCTAAATGCTCTGCTTAGTTTTACTGAGCTTATTTTTGGTTACACTCATTGGTGTAAGCAAGGCCCCTCCCACAGGAAAAAGATTAATGTTCAGTATGGACACTGTCCCATAACAAATGTGAAGAGTTGATATTGCAATACAATTGGTGTAAAGGATTTGCTTCCCTTCTCTAGTTGTTAAATACTTGTGAATTAAAAACAAAGTGACTCAAGCCAAATCCATGATTTCTGAAGACCATTCAGGTGGAATATTTAATTGATTTGTTTTCCTGAAAAATACAGTCTGAACAGCTCACAAGTTTATTGCAACAAGCTGCCAATGCTGCACTCTATAAAACTGCTACAGAAAAAGGTTTTCAACAAAGTACATTGTATGGTCTCCAAAAATCTTCATTTTTTAAAATGGCCATAGTTTATTTATTCAGAAAGGGCCTGCAGTTACTCAGGAGAACTTGGACTTCTGCTGCCTTTTCAGAAGCCTCTAGCAACCTAACCCAAGTAATGGTCTGGCAGAGGGTTTGGCTATGTCCCTGCTGCTCTCAAAGAATGAATCTTGATTTCTTTCATTCTTAGCAGAGTTAAAAACCTTAAATATAATAACAGTAAGTGTCTGAGGGTGAATGTGCCAGGAAAAGGTTTTGTTCTTCACAATGGCTGGCACTAGGAACAAAGTTAAGAGGCAGGGGTTTTCAGTGGCTTAGCATTACTGAGCTAACTCACAGTAAAAGCATAATAGCTGACATGGACTTGGCTGTATAACGTGTTGAAGTAGAACTGGAAATGCAATGAAAAATAGGATCTGAAAAATAAAACTAATGCAGAGTAATTTCAAATGTTTTCTTTTAAAAAGTCTGCACTAATGTCCGTTTTAAACTGAATTTGAATTTATATTTTGTTTTTATTTCATTGTCCAGCTTTATCCAATGGTTTCAGGGGAAAAGTTCACCAGTTCTTTCACTCTTTGATTGTTTCATTACCGGATTTAAATGAAACACAGGTTGTGCTACATGCAAACTGAGGATAATTAGTTAATATCCAAAGTCTTTTACTCTGAAGGACATATTAAGCAAAATTTACAGAAGCAGTGTAAGGGTCTCACTCGAAATGCCATGTTTTCTCAGCTACCTACATGGGCCTGTGAATTTGAATTGGAATCTCATCCTGAACTTACCACCAGCACCTGCTATTTTCAGCTCTCCTCCCCAGTACACCCCCCTAAGCGTTTTGCATATTCATTTAAAGAAAATAATCTCATTGAACAAGCTGTGCAAGAGGTACCAATTATTACGAATTGTCACACTACACGTTTACTAGCTAAAAGCAAGGTAAGATTTTTCAGTCTTTTTCCCATTCCTTTTATTCTTTCCTTCCTCCCCACCCATTTAAAGAAAGTGCATTTGGCAGGGAACAGAGATTTAAAAATGTAAAGAGCAGTTGGTGCTATAGTTACTAAACAGTGGGTGTTTTCTTCAGTGCTATAGAGAAGAACAAGAAAGAGTCGTGATTTTTTTTTTTTCCCATTAAACTGGGTATTCCAGAGGAGATAACAGCACACAATGAGTCAAGAATCTTAGTACTAAGAATTGCTAGTTGATGTAATGGTACTGTACTCCACATGATAAATGAAAAAGGTGCCAGCTATTGAAAAGAACAGCTGCACAGTGCAGATCAAGAAAGGAAAGTTTTAACAGCCTGAGTTTAAAAATTTGGAGATGTTAATAAAGAGTTTGTACAGTGGTAAATAGTAAACTGTATTGTTAATAACATATATTCTTGGTGTTAAAGGGGGAAGGAAGACTTGGGTGCTTTGATAGTTTAAAAACTCCTCAGGTGTTGCACTTAAAATGAATTTATACTCTGCGTCCATAAGCCCACACAGCAGAGGTTCAGTCTCAGGCTTTATTTTTCAAGAGTGCTTTGAACACTCTAAGTGAAAAAAAATTACTGTAATCAAAAAACACATTTTAAAATAAATAATTGAAGTTTTCATTGCCATGTGTCATTGAGATTTCTGCAATGTCCCTTATTGTAAAACTACTCCTTCTTTTCCAGGATGAAACTTTGGTGCCAATTACAGTTTTTCATAATAAGAATTCTAAAGAACTACACAGGAGACCACTTCTAGTTCATGTATATGGAGCTTATGGCATAGATTTGAACATGAGCTTTAAAGAAGAGAAGCTGATGTTAATTGAAGAGGGTTGGATATTAGCGTATTGCCACGTTAGGTAAGTCAAATATAAAATGGAAATAAGATTTTATTTTGCAGGATACACAGATATTTGTTCATGTACAATTGAAGATGTACCAAAATAATTTTTTTCGTGTACCTATACCTAATTATTCATATCTTTCTAGATTTTTTTATTTAAGTAGTTTTTAAATTTACCTCAGGGAAAAAAAAATACAAGAGCACATTACATTTTAGGTTTCTTAAATCTACATGATGGCTGTATGTAACTTTTAATCTTTTCAAGTCTCTTTTTGGTTCAAGAAAAATTTTGGTTACATGCTCGAATTGCTATGACATGTTATCTCCCTCTCTTTCTGAGAGCATTGTGTGCTAATGCTCAGTCTGTGTCTTCTGAAAGCCATTTACATTCCACAGCAACAACTAAGCATTTAACCTGCAGCCCTTGTTCTTTTATTGGCTAAACCCTCTGTCTCCAGTCTAGCTACAAATCTACCAGTTTTATAAAACTGCTTCAAATTCTTCTCAGTAGCTAAGGAAGATAACAAAATAATCACTTTAGGGAGGGGAGGAATGAGTAATTGTTGGAAATACCAGTCTAATTGTTGGAAATAGCAGTCCCAAAACAAATTCAGCAAATATATTCAATCTGCTGTACTCAGTGGGAAGCATTGTGCTGTTCTTCCTTACGCCCCACTAAAGTACCTTAAGATGCAGATCAGTCCTACATGAAGATGCATTCGTCATCCAATGATGGCAGGCTAATCAAATAATCCATTTTAAACTTGAAACCAGAAGAGGAAGCTTCAGGTGGCTTAGAAACAAAATTATGGTGGCATAGAAAGAAGCATAAATAATTTTTATAATTCTGTATTACAAAATGTAACATTTCAAGTAGCATTTGAAATTCACAAATTAGGGAGGGGAAAACCCAAACCCAACTTTTCTAACAGTCTCAGAATTTAAGATAAGCAGAAGACAAATCCTGAGAGACTGGTGTGGAATTCAGAAATACTATTCTACTGTTTTCAATAAGTAATAGTGTTAGTATTGGAAGTATTGGAAATGTTTTGAATATTTTCATGGTTTCCTGTATAAAAAGGTAATATCTGATTTTATAATTGCCTACAAATGAAAATGTTATTTCCTAAAGCGTTGCTTTTCCTGTGGGTTCCAGGACACAAGCACATGTGGGCACAGAGTGCCCTTCTACAATTAGAATTTTCACCAGTCATCATGAATGGATTTATTTTGCCTTCACGTTGTCTCTTTTAGCCATAAAAAAGGGTAAAGGCAAAAACAAAAAAGAGTTAATTGAGAAAGCAAACTATGATGTGTAACTCTGTTGCTGCTGCTGTTCTTTTGTTATCTGAAGCTACTACACCTTGTACTGTTTTCTGAAGAGACTCCAACTTGAATTGCATTACATTTCAGGGGTGGAGGAGAGCAGGGCCTTGGCTGGCACAGAGATGGATGTCAGCATAATAAACTAAAAGGTCTCCATGACCTCAGGGCTTGCATCAGGCTGCTGCACCAGCTGGGATTTTCTCAGCCCAAGCACACGGCACTGACAGCTGCCAGTGCTGGGGGAGTTCTCGCAGGAGCCCTGAGCAACACTGACCCAGCACTGATCAGAGCCGTGGTTTTACAGGTGAGCTGCTGCAGAACTTTTACAGATGATAACATTAAACTGTATTATCTGCCTTACTGTACCACTTTCAGCATTGGAAACATTCCAGTTCAAAGCTCACTCTCCTCATTTGTTTGAGAACACCTTGGCACAGATATTCAAGGTCCTCTGTCCTATTTGCCAACTTTTTTTTTTTATTCCTTCTAAGGCTCCTTTCGTAGATGTTCTAAATACAATGATGAAAACTCATCTCCCACTGACAATTGAGGAACAAGAAGAATGGGGAAATCCATTAGAAGATGAAAAGTGTATGAAGTATATCAAAAGCTATTGCCCATACCAGAATATTAAACCACAGGTAAAACTATGCTTTCTGTGCAGAATACTACAGGCATAGAATGTAGTGGTTTACAAGAAAACCAAGAGTAGATCACTGAAATTTAAAAAAAACCCTCCAATATAAATTATTTCAGTATTGATCTTAGCAATAGTTGGAGTCACAAGTAACTACTGAAATTAACCCAATGCCTTCTTCTAAATGATGCGGCTTTCTAAACTTGCTTTTGTTTTAGGACTTCCAGGAAGTAATATATTATTGTATAGCAAATCTCAACATGCAAAATGCCTTCTTTTGTGGGGTAGTTTTGACCTTCTACTGTGTTTTGCTGGCTTTTTTGCAGACACAGGAGGAAGGAGGTATTTTCCACTGATTTAATACCTTTCCAGAGGTATTAAAACAGACAAACACTGAAAGGGAAGAGGACCTATAGCCTTGACATTGTCATCTCAAGGGAAATCTGTCTTTATTTGACAATGTGTTAGCTGTGTTGCACAGCTTCATTAAGTAAAATTTGGACTATTTAAAAACCAAGTTCTGTGCAGAGAGATTGCAAAAATAAACCTTAACTATTGTTCTAAGGTAAACTATTCCATGATTATTACTACCTTTTTTCTTTTTTTGCAATCATCAGCAAGCAGACAGGTATCAGACCTTTACCAGTGGGGAGAGGATGTTTTTATGACCTTTTGCAAGTAGATTATGCCCTACTATGAAGTAATTTTTCAGACCAAAATACTTTTTGCAGTTAGTGATAAAACTCTTAGAAAACACTAAGTAATTATGTAATAGATGAATTTTTAAATAAACCCTAACAAGTTGTATAGCAAGATAAAAATGTGTTACTCTATGAGAAAAACCAGTTGTCAAGTGTTTAACTGGTTTTGGTTTTTAATCTCAGTGCTATCCATCAGTTTTTATCACGGCGTATGAAAACGACGAACGGATACCACTAACAGGAATTTTGCAGTATGTTCAGAAACTCAGGAAGGCTGCACTAGATCATGCCAGCAGAACAAGTAAGAAAGGTAAGGATAAGAATATCACAGATAAATAAACAGTCATGTAATTAGAGACCACAGAGATTGACTCCTCCTTAAATGAATTCAGACATAATCCCATATCACCAGCTCCACAGCAGACTCAGGACACTCTCTGAGATGCAAAAACATAAAGACTGGGAGCCTGTGAGTGGGGCTCACTCTTTCCTAGGCCTCCACATAGGGCAATTGTTGGATAGTTCAAGGTGAGCCCACGTTGTCAGTCCAGCTGCTGATGGGGCCAGGCTGCAGTTCTCAGCAGCCCTTGGAGAAAAATCTTATTTTCACTGCTATACAAAGACCTACTTTTCTCACTTCACTGAAGCTGCAGGTCCTTAGTCCAAGTTAAAGTGACAACAAGGCCAGTGGACAGGTACTTTTATACCTGAAACTTAACCCTAGCTTTGGGAGTTTCCAGCAAAAGGTACATTCAAGCTTAACTATTTTTTTGTACCATCCAGTCTGGGAAGAGGCTTTTACCATCATTACCGAAAGAGAACTTGAATAACCTTTTCTGCATTTCACGATGCCCTGTCTCTGAGCAGCACAGCTGGGTTGAGAAATTGCAGCAGGTGCTGTGGTTGCTGTTGTGCTCTTTGTGCAGAAAGAAAAGAGCATGTCTTTCCAAAAAGACTCGGAGAGAACAAACACACTAAGTAGATGAATATTTTCCAAATGTGCAGTTATTAGAAATACAAATAATTCATTCAGAGAGCCCCTCTACAATTCTCTTTTTCTTAAGGAAAATAGAAACTCTGTCAGGACAAGAAGGCAGAACTAGCTGTCCTTAAACAATTCACATACCCACTTATTTTTTTTCCTTGTTCATTCAATGTAAAGTGATCACCAGCTTCATTGTTCCAGGAAATTGGATTCCTAATATAATCCTAGATGTCCATGCAAATGGCAGTCATTGTGATTCATCCTGGGAGCACTCACTGAATGAGGTATGGTCCCTTTATTGCACAGCTCCATAAAGTGTTGCAGGGATGTGTCCCCTCAAGGGATACTTCAGCCTCAGTAGTTGGGCAGTCATTGAATGTATGTTTAAACTATAAAGAAAAACAGCTAGAGCAAGCCTGATTTTACATATATATATATAAATGTAAAAGCCCAGCAATCTTTATATATAATGATATATTTTTATACATACACATACTTGTACAGATATAAGAGAGACAGTGACGGAGCCAGATTATTGAAATAGCCTTAAAATAGTGTTCAATTCCCACTGTAATGTGCTAAGAGAGCTTTGAATGAAAGGTTCCAAGTTGTGCAAAACATCATTCCAGCAGGAAAAGTCTTGCTCTGTAGAGTATCAAATGCTTAAAACTGTCATACTATTTATTCCCATCTTCCTCATGTGTAAAACATAGATGATGGGTTGAATCTTTACATTTTGAAATGCATGATCTGTGCTACCACAACTATTACAATTAGCTTTCAAGATTTTGCACTTTATACAAGCATGTTGGTTAAAAGAAAATAGTGCCAAGACCTAACATATTTTTACTGATGTCTCAGACTGTCACAGTTAGATACAAATCTTATTACCCTTAATTTTAACAAATCCTAGAAAATGTTAGTTTGCTGGTGGTAGCAGTTGCTCTCAAGATTAATTCCTTCAGGAAAAGCTACATGCTGTCTTGGGGCAAGGTATTTCTTAGCATTAGTATAGGAAAGGAAGATGACTAGAATAGCTGCACAAGAGCCTGAAAGTTTATAGTGCAAAGAAATTTATAATAAAATATTTTCATTATTTTAGGTTGCAAGACACCTTGCTTTTCTGAACAGAGAACTTGAGGAAGTGTGCTATCCCCAACATCACAGCAAATCCTGCCAATAACTCCTAAACACACTGACCACCTGAAAAACGTCGGGTTTTTGGGTCAGGTTTGGATTTGTATGGAAAGCAAACACCTTCTCCACAGGATCTCTTCTCTCAGATCCCTGCTTTATGGGCACAAGCACACAAAGCTGGGTGTGGCACTGCCATACAAAAATACAGACCAAGAACTGGATTTCTGCCCTGCCTGGCTATGCAGAAGCAGCTGCCAGCAGAAATGAGTTTGTCCAGCAGCTCTGTTCACACGAGTGGAGCTGGAGCACAACAATGGGCACACAGAGCCTCACAGCAGAGCCACAGGCACTTGGCACAGGCAGCCTTCCTGTCCAAGGCATGTCTTGCATGGCCACATGTTACACAAGGCAGTAGACCTCCTCCAAAGCATCTGACATTGAAGTCTTACAACTTCCAGAACTAATTCCCAGATGTAGGTGATGGTGATTGCTGCCCTCTCTGTGTGCACAGCAGCTATGGTGTACTGATCATGTGGTGGGATTGACCAAACTGCAAAGAAAAGCACTCTCAAGAAGGGGAATTTTAGCAGAATTGTGATCTTAATACATTAAAAATCTTGCAGTTACCTTATCCAGCATGGTAATCTTAAGAAGGAGGTGCCAAAGTCCCTCGGGATGACAAGATGAATGTGACAGAAGATGCCAGAATATCTCTAGAGGATAAAACAAAAAGAATGCCCCCACAAAAGATTCATAGTTTAGCTGCCCTTTGAGCAAGGCACAAACCTGCTGTGCATTGTTTGTTAAGAGAGATGTGTGGTGCACACCCAGGGCCACATCAACCACTGCAGGTGCAGCAAATGCCAATCACGGCACGTGTACAAGTAGGGCTGGTTCAGCTGGTTCCTCTGAACTAAAGTACACACTCCTCACCTCAGCCTTAGGGCAGGAAAATAAATAAGAGAATTCAAATGTATTCTAACTCAGCAGGGAGAATCAACTGGAAATGCAATTACAAGGGTGGAATTAGATATTAGCTATATTTTGTTCTTTTTCTTACTAACTTTGAGATAATCAGAGTTTTTAGATTTGAGACAAGAGGTAACACATCACAGCAATATACACTAGTCTTGCTTGTGTTCACCCGTTTTAGCAAATATAGGGCCACCACTTTGGACTAAGTGTTACAAATCTGCAGACTTCTAAAAGGTTACAATGAACTGCCACGAGCTTGAGATTCTACAGGAGCGCTTACAGACCAGCAACCTCCAGGGCCAGCACCCAGAAAGCAACTGTTCCCTCTCCTCCCAAAAACACATGCTTAAACAGGACAGTTTTTAGAACAGCTTTACTTTTCTTCTCCACAGACCCTAAGTGGGAGTTTATACCATTCTTTTTCCTTTTCATTCACAAATACAGATACAAGACAATTACGTATCTGATTTTTCAGGACGTTTATTTTGTACACAAATAAAGTTTTAAAAGCCAAAGAAAACTGAGTATTTTTAGCATTTCCCTGAAACTAATATCTTCTAAATTAACATGAAAGCATAGGTATTCTACTCCTCTATTTAACAGTTCATGTAGAGTAAATTGAGGGCCTTGGAATAACAAGCTTTTTCTGCCACAAAACACTTCCCTTGAAAAGCTTCCATAGTATGAACAGGCTTTGTTGTTTTATATTCAAGGACCAGGCCTTCTCCCATTTCAGTTTTAATTAGTTCGGTACTGACCACTTTACCAGCATTGCTAAAATGAGTACTGAGCCTTATTACAGCTTCAGAGGGAAGGTTAGGAACTATGGCCTTCAGGTCTATTGTTGACTCCTGGCCAAAGTTGAGCACCATCATGAAGACTCTGTCTAACCCATCCAGCTCCCTCACGTACACAAACACGTTACTGTCATTCCAGATGTGGCACATCCACCCTCGGTTCATGGGCAGCTCATTGTTCCGCAGCAAAGTCAGCGCTCGGTACAAACTCAGCGTTGAGTTGGACCAGGTGCTCTGGATCTGCAACAGTCACCACCAACAGGGTCAGTTCTTGGCACTGCAGGGAGCAAATGCAGCTCCCTTCTCACACCCACTCAGGCTGCTGAGAACCTGCCTATTGGAATTCTGTGCTGACAATGATCCCTCTTCAAATCTGTCTTCAAATTTCACTGAAAAACTGCTTTTTCTCATGCACCTCCTTGGCATGTGTGGAGTGGCAGACAGAGTTTATGAAGCATAACAGTTCCCCAGCACTAATGCAATTGCTTCCTCCCACAGCTTACTTTCAGTACTGTTGATTCAGGAGAAAGCCACAGCCATTCAAAGCTTGACACTGAATCTTTTTCACTGAGTCCAGTCTACTGCAGTCACAGGGTTCATTTCACGTTTTATATTTCTGCTATCTTAGGTTCTTTCTGCCTTCAATTTGGTCAGCACTGTAGGTCAGCAAAATCTGTTTGATTCACTGCTCTACTTATGTTAGAGTTGGTCTATGTCAAGTTCTTGTTACAAAGACAGTGCTTTCTATGGCAATAGAAATGGGGAAAAAGAGACCAGTTCTCAATTTAATATCAGAAGGATTAAAAGGATGTTAAAGAGCCAAATTGCCACATCAACCCCATAATTGTAGCTGCTCTGCCTAAATGAATGTAGATTAAGTAGGGTCCTTACTGTGCAAGGATTTCCTTTTCTAATAAAACTTACGAGGACTCAGTGCTTTTTTCCCCTTGAGTTTGTTCCTGCTGCCAATGCTCACTGCTAAAAGGAAGCTAGAGCAAAATAGATACATTAAAATATTTTTGTGACCATTAGTTTGTCACACATGTAGATATACCTACTTCCACATTTACACTTTGGTAGTTGGAGTTAACAGGTAACCAGCTGCTGTTGCCTTCAGTAAAACCAGCATTAACATTTCCATCCCACTGCATGGGGGATTTCTCTGGGAGGGTAGCCTAGAAAATGAAGTGGTGATTACCATATTAAAAATTATTCTTTGAACAGTATGTTCTCACAATTCCCAAATTATCCCCCATTCAGTATTGCTTTCTTTGGTTTAAGTTAAAATTTAATGAGGATGTAATTGTGGTCCAAATCTAAGGAGAAAATGAGAACCAAGACAGTTCCTGAAATGGAAGGGAGGGGATCATCTCAGATACAGCATTGTTGGGTAAAACATGGAATTGCCAAATGACTCTCACTAGAGTTGTCATCCTTTGCAACAGATGGTTGGATAAAAGTTTACTGGTGACAGCCAGGATATTGTGATAAATATCTAGACATGCAGAGAATGAATATGTAAGGTATTGAGTCCTTAGAAGAGATGTCATAAAAATAACAGTAAACAACAAGTAACTGCTGTTCAGTGTCTGTTCTTTTGTAAGTATTGCACTTTTCACCCCAGAACTCTTCAAGATTACATTTGCAAGGGGTACAATTTTGACAGGACTGTTTGTGCTAGAAAGGTAAAATTATTATTTCCAAGTGCAAAACTATTGAAAACCTGCTTTTAGCTGATTAAAAAGTGTCGATGTAAAAAAAGTCTGAAGATCTCATTTTGAAGAATTCAGAAAAATTCTGAAAAAGCTTCCTCATTGTTACTGAAGAGCTGCCAAAAGATCTGACACTTAAATTTAATGATATAAGAGGGCATAAAATATTTTGCACATACTTTGAGTGTTTGTTTTCCATGAAAACTGTTTTTCATATAAAGGACACTTTTCAATACAATCTGTCAGAGCAGCAGCCTAACAAAAGAAATTGTCACTTTGCTTTGTGACATTATAAATAATGGGTTTCTCCTTTTTAGCATATTCTGAAAAGCAGAGGAAAAAAATCCTAAGTTTTCAACACTGGTAACACTACCTCTCATCTTTACCTCTCTCAGTGTCTCCTGAAGTGTTTGAAATGCTGGGGCTAAAGCCTGTATCATCCTGAGCAAATACTCTCCATCTTCCTAAGACACCCATTAATCAGAGAACCTTCTCCAGACTGAGTGAAGGGTGGGCTTGCATTTCTTCCAAAGCCCTGAGCCACAGGGTAGCCACTAAAAGAGAGTGAACCCTGAGAGGCTCAGGGTGAGCCACTTTTCTTAAGAGAATCACTCTATCAGCAGTAATCAGCAGCAGCAAGAAAATGCAGGAGATACTTTGACCTAGGGTTTTCTCAGAGGAAATGCGATTTCCTTTTAAATCAGAGAATCATTTCCTCACATCTGAATCAGACAAATCTGGAGATGATCTCTGCTTCAAGTAGCTCTTTCTCTTTGATGCAGAGCTAGCCAATGCCATTTCTAACATTGCCAGAGGCTGCCTCATTCCCTAACAGAGGCTTTCCACAAGGAAAGCAGCATCTGCTATAGGACCATGTTCTTACAGTGCTCAAATATGGTGAGGAGAGGCAGGGATGAGCTGTTCCCATTTGAGACAGACTATACATGATGACCAAAAGCCATTTCTGCTTGCCACCAGGCAGCCTTCTCCTTTGTGCAGATCCCTTTTCCCGAGCCTGGGCACACTCATGACAGTTGTGGCTTGGACAGAATCAGAACTGTGATTTCCTTTAAATAATAGCCAGGAAATAATGGACTCTGACATAATGATGAGGGTGCTTCCATGGGAGGAAGGAGATGGTTCTGTTCCTCTTCCTTCCTGTGTCTGCAGCACACCTCTCCTAACCCCTGGCCAGGCCCAGAGCTGGAACTTGCTGTCCTTTCTGCTGAAGCAACACTGCTGGAAACCATGCAAGACTGATCCAGAGAAAGAGAAATCAGCATCCATAACTGAAGTCTACCAGTTCAGACACACATCAAAGCCTTAGTTCTGGTCTCTGGCCTGGCCAGTTCCACATGCTGTACAGAGGTTTGCCATGAGGACCACAGAAAACCATTTAAGCAGTGAAAAAGATTAGGTTTGGTTAAAAAAAAACAGAAATTCTTGTTGGTTTTGGATGTTCTCTACTTGGAACTAAACAACAACAGGACCAGACTTTACCTGCTCTTCACTTACATTTTCTGATGCAATGTTCTCCATGCCTATTTCTTCACCATAGTAAGTTACAGGAGTGCCAGGGAGGGTTAAAAGCAGCATGTTCATGACATTGATGTATTCGTTCCCAATCCGAGTTGAAATCCGAGCAGCGTTAGGGCTTCCAACCTGAAGAAAACATCATTCTGTTAAACACACATTTTAAAATTTCATGCATATGTGAAATTGATTAACTAATTTAACAAGGTAGTAAATGTTTTCGGGTTTTTTTCCTTTCCTTTCCAGGGCTGTGAGGCCCATTATCTTTATCTTGATGCCATTACAAACTTTTGTCACAAAAAATGTAATACACAGAAGTCCTGCCAGCAGCACACGAGGCAGAAGTGAGGAAGAGATGACAAATAACAACTGTCCCTGCTTAGTTCTCTGTTGTTTTCTCTCCTGTGTGAGGACTGCTGTGCTTGCTTTAAAAAGATCCTTTGCACATTCTGAAGATGCTTCCTAGCAAAAGAGGAGCAATGTTTGAAGTTAAGTGCCCTCCACTGTCCGCTCTGCCCTGGCCCCGGGCGGGTTCCAGAATCCATTGCAGTGAGTCAGTTTATGGTCAAAGATAATTATCCCAATTCCATTCTCACTGGTGATTTAGCCATTGGAGATACTGAGGGAAAGGCATGATCATAAATTCCCTTCTATCATCCTTGCATGGGGAGTGGAACTGTTATTGAAGGGCAGGAGAGCTGGACAGTGCCAAGGACTCCAACTGCAGCAGCTGAGAGTTTTCACAAGGATGGCGACTGTAACTCAGCCACGGGCCCAGGCTGCTGCTGATCCCACTGAAATCTGTGTGTGTGTGTGTGTGTGGTTTCTGTCACCTACAGGAACAAGCCCTTCCTATGAGAATTGGTCTAAAGCTCTTACTGCCCAGTTTGGCCATTTTCCTGCAGGCATGTTTCTCATCCACGAGTCGACAGCTTCAAAAATACTGTTGCCTGATAGATTTTTCATGTTAATTAGGTTGAAATTGAAGGGAAAATCTGCTTCTTGGATAAAAGTCGTTCCATAGTACATCATTGTTGCTTCAATGTCGTCTTTTTCATTATCATCAGAACCCATAAATCTGCAAAGAAGTACACAAATGCTTTTTTGACTCATTTTTGGTTACACAGAACAGAATAAAGCTAGAAAAGTTTGGACACAGAGCATTAAGAATTACGTTCACTTCCCCCTCCCCATCAAAAAAAGATTAATACAGAAAAATGGTATTTTCTACGGCAGACAAGGAATCAAGGAGAAATACTTTTTGGAAGTTGCTGGAGAAAAAACTACAGGAGTCAACACAAGGCTAAAGTATCTGACTGAAGTTTTATCTTTCTGAATCCAGGTCCACACAGTCCACTCCAGCAATTTCCATGCTTTCCTTCCCAGGAGGGGACCTGGGGGTCCCCTCAAGCTGACCATGAGCCATCAATGTGCCCTTGCAGGTGGCTCATGGCATCCTGGGCTGCATTCAGATGAGTGCTGCCAGAACTGAGGGAGGTCATCCTTCCCCTTGAGTCTGTCACGAAGGCCATTAGGGACTGAAACATCTCTCCCAGGAGGAAAGGCTTCGAGGTGGGGCTGTTTAGCCTGGGGAAGGGAAGCCTCAGGGGAACCTCATCCATGTATTGAAGGGAGGCTGCAAAGGTGACAGAGCCAAGCTCTTTTCAGTGGTGGCCAGGGCCAGAGGCAATGGGCACAAACTGAAACACAGGAAAGGTGTTTCCCTATGAACATCAGGAAACTTGTACCAGCCAGGGTGACTGAGCCCTGGCACTGGTTTTCCAGGGAGGTTGTAGAGTCCCCATTACTGGAAATGTTCAAAAGTCGTCTGGACAAGTTCCTGGGAAACTGGCTCCAGGTGGCCCTAAAAAAGTAGGGGGTTCAGAACAGAGAACTTCAGGACATCCCTTCCAAATTCAAGTATTCTGTGATTTTAATACTCTCTGATTGTGTGTCTCACTTGAACTGCACTATTAAAACTAAAGAATAAATCAGGCACAGGGTTGATAAATTAGTATCTCTGTGATTAGAATGGTTTCCTTTTCTGCTTAGCTTTATACAGTCCATAGATGGAGCAGAACTAACAGGGCAATTCCTTTCTGCAAACACTGGGGAAGGGACAGTATAGCCTATGCACTGCTATCTGCACTGGAGGATTTGCATTTCTGTGGTGTATTATGTTAAAACCAGTAAAAAAACATTTCATTGCTAGCAAGAGGGAGATGGATATTAGAAAAAAGTGGGCAGCTGTGCTGGTTACCTGTATCTGCCAGGCTCTCTGCTGAACTCGTTCATGGTTTGGCGGAAGCTGCGGACGATGTCATGCAAACCAACTTGTGTGGTGGTGTAGTCATGGTAGAGCTGGGAATAGGCTGTGATACTCTCCTTAAAGCAGGGTATAGTACTTCACATTAGTTTACAAATGTTTTAGGTTTCAGAATTCTCCAAATTCTTCCCATTCTTCCCTGAGACAGTGCACCAGTTAATGAATTTTTACTGAAATGAGTTCAGCATGCTAACACTATCAGCACAGAGCCGAACTGCACTTGAGGAACTCTGGGGTAGCACAAGACTGATAATTCTGGATCCCATCCTTCAGCAGGGAAAGCCCACCCACAGCACCAACCAACAGAGCCCGTGTGCAGCAGCAAGCAGAGCAGGTGCTGCGGCCTCAGACCAGGCTGGAAAGAGGGACAGTGCCTTGATACACAACACCACCACCACCACCTGGAGCTGGCCAGCTGTCTGTGATCCCCAGCTCCACAGGAGAACAGTGTCTCAGTGCTGGCACTACCTGGGAACATCACCAAGTTCGCTATCAGAGCAAAACAAGTAACATAAACAACAGTCAATGTGTCTGGTCTCCTCTCATTGTGACACATGGCCTATACCAGTGTTTTTTAGTTTTGCTCCAGTTCTTACTGGGGCTTCTTTGTGGTGAGTGCTCTTTGTGCAGAGTGCCCAGGACCCACCCGCCTTCCAAGGCTGACCTGATTTTCCTACTGCCACAATTAAGACCCAAAAGAGTCAAACCAGGCACTCTTGTCTCCACAGGAAATGCAGGAAAGCAAGCAAAGACACAACATATACATTACTCCATTCTGAGACTTGTTCACTGGAGGCTCATCTCGGAGATGTGTTGCTTCTAAGAGAAATTTAACAGTGCCGAAACTCAATCCATCAACTCCTTTGCCAAGCCAAAATTTTATAATATCCTAGATAAAAGCAAAAATTGCAGAGTCTGAGTGAGCTGATTTAAAACAGTATACTCTTAAAAAGAAAACTAAACTTGTAAGGAGGTGATAATACATAACAATTCATTTTTTGATTTTGTACTTCAAATTTTTCTAGTCGCTAAAGTGAATCATGTTGATCTAAGCTCAAATTAATAGCTAAATAAATATTTCATTGATACAAAAAGGAGAAAGACTGGTCTCTAATTTCTCCCATAATTCAGGAGACCAAAGCCAGGGCATGACTCCTAAAAGCAGTTTCTAATCTCATCCATCAACACAACTGGGCTCATGCTAAGTGCTGTTGTTGATGAACTTGAGCTTGTCATAGCTGCACACAATTAGAACACATTGATTCAAATATGCAGGAATATATTGTTCTGCACAAAACCTTGTGCCACCAATTTTCTTTTACACAATAGAGCTCTTAAAACATTTGTTCTCTCTTATTTGACTCATGTAAATTTGTTTATTTTATTTTCAGACTTATTTGTTGATTTGCAGGAACATGAGAAATTATTATCCAACAATTACAAATGCTATTCATTTGAAATTTCATTATCAAATTCCAATGTTAGTCACTATTAGTAAAATTATATCCCACTTCACTAACTGTATTACTACAGTTTTAATTGCACTGGTTTTAACAAAAAACTCCAAAGTTCAGCCCCTCTTGAGTGCTTTCTGCAAATGTCCTTTTAGTTGTGATACTTGTCTTCATCTAAGAAAAAAACCTTTTTTAATATTTTTTTAAAAGATGTCTATTGACTTGCTTTTTAAAAACGTATGAAGTACACTTGCCTGAACAGCCTGGAGCAGAATTAGTCCACACTCAAGCTGTACAGGTTTTTGTTTGGCAAATAAAGACTCTGCCTCACTGAGCTGCACTCTCATAGTGACATTCTGAAAGCAGCAGCTCTCAATATAGTGACTGTCCAATACTGAATCTACCAAAAATATTCATGCTTTTACCTGTGCTCAGCACAAAAGCAAACCCGGCTATCAGCACTACAGAAATCAAGCACTGACTGATTCTCACCGGCACCAATCTACATCTATTTACACATGAAAAGCCACAACACGCTGGTTGCTGAGTTTGCCTGTTCTTGGGTGCCCTTGTGCTGCTGAACCAAAGACTTGAGCTTCTCTGCAAAAATCCATTTGCTTCCTGCTCCGTCCTCCTAACCTTTTGGAACAGGATTTTGAATTAAAATACTAGACAAAAGTTATTCTTTAACACGATGTTCATACACATTTACCGAAGGTTGGTGTTACCAGGGCAAACTTTCCAGCTTTCATGTTGGGTTTTTTTGGTTGGTTGGTTTTTTGGGTTTTGGGGTTTTTTTTTTGCATAGGATATGCAGCATCTCTTTGCTACTGCAGTTTCAATAATCCAAGTACCATTTTAAAAAAGTAATTAGCCAGGATCATTAAAAAGCATGTGCAGTGCTATGGGGAAAAAAAAGGTGCAAATGGCAAGATGTGGCATTAAGGGAAGTATCAGGACACATAGAGGTTCCCGGCAGAGTTCCTCAAGGACCAGTCTCAAAGGTGGTTTCATTGTTTGCTTGTGTTAAAAGCTATGACCAGAAGTGTTTTTCTTCAAGCTCATGCAGTACCCATGTGGTGAGAGGAGAGGCCCCACAGAGACCAACCCAGGAGGACTGGGCAGCTGTGAAGAGCAGTGCCAAAGAAATGCACTACAATTCCACAGCACAGAGTGGTAAACGCTTAAGGAGTCAATTAAACACATGAAGTAGCTCTACTATCTGCAGAGGGATAACTTACAGAAAGGGGGAAAAAGAAGCAGCAGTTGTCAGGCTCCCCATATTCAGGCCTACAGACCCACATTTTAATGAATTCCACATTGTCTGCTAGGAAACAGTGCAGACAGGAATGAGATTCCATCGGAGCAGCACCATCACCAGCACTCTCACTGTGAAAACACTCACTTTCCCCCTGGAAAGTCATCGGATATGCAGAAAGATCGAAACTCACTATCTCTCCCTTATCCACAAGCCCAGGCATTCCTTGTAATTCAAATCAGCATCTCCTCTGCTTTCCTGAAAATGCAAACATCTCTGCTAAACAAGGTGCCATCCCTCCATTCGACTGGCTAATTAACAGCTCTTTGTATCAACAGAGATAAAAACTTCTCTGCACTGGAGATGGTCAGCCCTGCACAGGCTTCAGTGCAAGAGCTGCCTTGGTGTGGGCTCAGCAGCAGTGGGTTTCATACTTACCTGGATTTCTTGTTGGACAGCAGGGTTGCGAAAATTTAAGTCTGGCTGTTCCTTCCCAAACTGATGGAAATAACATTGCTCTCTCACCTCGTCAAACTGCCAGCTGGAATTCCCAAAGACACTCACCTGCTCAGCCAAGGGAGACAGACAATCAGAACTATTGACATTTCCTCCCATGCATACATTAAAATGTGGGGCATTACAAACATAAAGTAAAGCACAAAATGCCTAACCAGTGGACTACATTTTGAACAGATTTTGGTACTTATGATTTTAATTTCTTTTTGCCACTAGTTTGGCTCCCTTTACTTGTGCTTTGCCACATGTATTTCCTGTTCGGTGTTGGGGATTTTGAAGATTTTTTATTAAGTTAACTTTCCTTGGGAATTATCTAGAATAGAGGGGAAAACATGGATGGGAACATTTATTTTGGAATTGCTTCTCCTAAAACTTATTAGAAATAGCTTTAGTTAACTTAGAGCTTTCTGCAACTTAGTATTATCCCTTTGAAGAGCCAACAACAGTCAGCATGTTAAAAATGTTAAACTTTACCACCATTTCTGTAATAAAAGATTCCAAAAGCTAAGATAGTTCTTAAGACTCTTAAGTTTAAAGAGAAATTATACAAATTGGTATGAAGTATTAATTCCACCTGGAGTTTTAAGAACATACAAGTTCCTAATCATGTACCCACCAGCTCAAATCCAAAATAAATCTATTTGAAGTAAGCAACACACTTTCTGGCATGATCACTTTCCATAAAAAAGGAAAAAAGTCCAGATCACATTGTTTCCTTTCCCACCAACTGATTTCAGAGGATCTGACATGCAGTTTCTAGAGCAGAATACCCATACACAGAAGAGGGCATGTCTGAACAACTTGTGCACAACCTTTTTGTGTGTGTGTGTTTGTTTAATGAATGAAGATTTAACACTGAGGTGAAGAAACAAAAGTAATATTTTAAATTCCTCTTGAAGTAGGAACTTTTCCAGTGACCACTCCAAGCTGGTTTACATCTTAATCTGCACTAGCTCACGTAGTAACATCAGTTTGTACCTCTCACCAGTCATTATAACCCTGTGTGCACTGGGACAACGATGCTACAGCTGCTTTTGCTCTGTGGCATCCAGCTTGGGATGTGCACGTGTCCCTTCCAGTGTTTACCCAGTTGTTGGGAGGGATGACAGAGCCAGCAGCCTGCATGCAGTCCTGCCAGATGTAGTAGTCTGTGTACTTCCCAGTCCGATTGCGGCTCAGCTGAAACCACGGGTGTTTGTCGCTGGTGTGGTTTGGTATTAAATCCATTATCACCTTTAGCCCTTAAACATAAAAAACAAAAATATTTAAAAATCCATCAACCCCCCCACCCCCCAAACTACAACGTTACATTAAGCCTTTTAAGACAATGTTAATATTTTTTCTAAATGCAGTATCAGAGGTATTTGGATCTTCCATGCCAGAGGTGTGGTGAAGGAGGGGGCAAAAAAACCCCAGAAAAAGTACCAGACTACCAAAACAGTTAAGACATAATTGGTGTTTGCAAGTAGCTGGAACACAGCTTGAGACAGAAAGAAAGGTGAATAAAAAGATCAAAACAGACTTCTGCTGCTATGAACCACTTTCACTAACTCTGACTTCATCATCTCACATCTCCCAGGTGACAAAGGCACTTCACCAGTGAACGCACATTGCTCATCACCCTTGCTAAAGACCAGGCATTTTATTGATACCTCAAATGTTGTCAGCATGGAAAACCATTTTCTGTTCAGCTCAACAGCTGTAACAAGAAACACCTGAGCAAACATTTGGTCTGAGGCATAACGCACTAAAGCAAAGATGCAAGGGCAGGAGGGAAGCGTGTGTTCCCTCATGCTCAGTCAGACAGAACTGCACCTCAGCTCCATCCCAGCCTTCCAGTGCCCGTAACAGAGGCCCCGGGGAGCATGGATAGGTGCCAGCCCACCACCCACAAACACCCTCCTTACAGAGGACACGCAGCTGTCCTGTGCTGCTGCTGTAGCTCCCTGTGCCCTCTGTCCTGCTTTCAGCACTGTCCCAGAGCCAAAGGGCAGCAAACGGCAATCATGGAGCTCACGTAGCTGTGAGCTTGTACCCTTTGCTGGCACCTCCATCTGCTCCTGCTCAGTGCCACCACGGAGGGACTCCAAGTGCACAAACTGAAGTCTCTATAAGGTCCATCTTTTTAAGTTACTTTGCTTGGAGGTGCAGCTTACCTTTGTCATGTATGGCAGCAACCAGATTCTCAAAATCTCCCATTGATCCAAAAATGGGATCAATGTCATAAAAGTCTTCAGCTCCATATTTAAGGTCTTTTAAAGGGGACTTAAAGAAAGAGGTGATCCAGATGGTTTTTATATTCAAATATGTAATATGGTCCAGTTTTTCTTGGATACCTATTTTAAAAAAAAGGACATCATCTGTTCAGAAAAAACAAAAGATGTTTTTTTGTACACAGGTCCCTTAATCTTCCTGACGTGTTACTATGGTATGCAACTACAGAAACAGTTTCTGCCCTTCACTTGCCAGTACTGTACAGTGTGGCTATCACTTCTTGTTTAGAAATGCATTGTCCATTTTGGTGTTGAGCCTTCCCTTCCTGCAGGGCAGTCTCAGCTCAGCTACTCATAGTTAGTATTGCTTCCTTACTACCAGATGCTCCATCTCCAAACATTCTTATGAGCTGATAACACCTAGACCATGAAGAAAACAAAAAGTAACATCTTTCTCCCCTCTTTGTCAGTTTTAGTTTTCCTTATGAAAAGCAGCCACCAAACATGACCAGGTGCTCAGCACCACTCATCCTCCTGACTGGCCTCAGTTTTGTGAAGGTATCTGACTCTGGTAGCAGTCGTGCTGCTGCTTGCTCAGAGCACCATCTCTCAATCTCCTTTCTAATTCCAGGCTTAGACTTGAGCAAGCAGCTCCTGGATTTATTCACGACAATATGAGTTGTCTGACAACTTTTCTTACTTCCCTCCATTAAGGCGGCTTTGTCAATTGGATTGTACTTTTCCACTGCTTTTGTTTTTTATATACACTCATACACACACAACTGTTACACAGCAAGAATGAAAACTGACCCACCTTTCAGATCCCCATTCCCATCCATGTTGCTGTCCTTGAAGGAACGAGGATAGATCTGATAAATAGGACTAGCCTGCCACCAGTCAAGGCACTTTGGAGAGAGAGCAATGATGGCAATCGTAGCACTCACAAGCGCAATGGAACCGGCAATTATGAGCCAGAAGAGGATCTCCCTGGTGACTCTGTAGCGAGCTTGGCTGGAGAACTGCAGCAAGACTTCCTTTGGCATCCCAGCATAAGGCTTCAACACTACCTCCTCCACAGCCACTGGGTCCACATCAACACTGCACGTTTTTGGCACTTCTTCTTGGCTGCTGCTCTCCGTCTCCTTGCCCTCAAAAGCCTCATGTTGAACAAATCCATTGTTCTCCACACCTGCCTTCTCACCCAGCTCCATGGGTAAGCTCCTAGCTTCCACCTCAACTGTTTTACTTGACAGGTCTTGTCCTGGAGACTGGCCGCAGCACCTTTGTTCAGTGAAATGAGAAGCATTGCAATTAGCTATTCTGGGTTGATAATCAATCCTGACCAACTGGTCAAAGTTCAAAAAGGGACAAAAAGGGCAAAGGGCTCATGATTTTCTGCATATTCAGCATCTTCAGCAAGATAACAAAATGCTACAAGAAAGGGCAGTCCTCCTAGGAAGTAAAGCCTATTGTTGGTACCAGCTGAGCACAGTTATGTTTACTCTTGCTCTCTCCAGTACATCACACTTCTCTTCCCTTTGACAGCAGGGGGAAATTCAGGTTTTACCACTATCAGATCTAGTAAATATGCAGCTTTCCAGACTGGTGATAGTCTCCCCTGCCTGAAGCAGTCCAAATATGCGTAATTTAAACACAGATAGCAAGAGAATGAAGCATTAGCAACCACTGGCCCAAAGGCAACAACACAAACTAAGAAGAAAAGGTTCAAAGGCTGGTTCTGCGTCTTTTTCACAGTTTAAGTCACCCCCTAGCCCACCCCGAGCTCCTAAGCACTAACAACTGCTGTGGTACATACCGATCCAGCGACTCACTGCCGAGTATGTGGGGTGGATTGCTACGCCCACAGCCAGCCCCGGGGCAGGACAGGATAGCTCCACACAGGCACAAGCAAAACTCAAGCGAAAAACCCACTACCCACTATTCGAATCCACTCTCTCATTATTAAAAAGAAGAAAGAAAAAAGTTTAAAAGAACCTTTCACTTCTCCCTCTTTCCTCCCTTTTCTATTACTCTAGGCAGGAAAAAACATTGCCCAAAGTCAGCACAAACATGCACATCTGTACACATCTAAGTGCCCTAAGCCCCAAGTGCCTGAAGTAAGTCACCATCAAGCATCAAGACATCCCTTCCCACCAGTGCCCCCTGCCCAGCATACCAAAGGACAAATAAAGCAATACAGATTCGCCAAGGAGCTGGCCCTATCACCTGTAAAACTTAAATCCTACCTCTGACCATAGGGTCAGGGTCCTAAGGAAGCTCAAGGACAACTGCAGTAGATACAAGGTTGGGTTGTGACTCAAAATAAGTGTTTATTATGTTTGCCTCAAGCCATGAAAGTAGTTTATAATCTACAGATTGTAAAAAGTCCAGCATGCAATATTCAAATTACTCAAAAATAGAAGCTGAGCTAAGAACAGATATTTGACGCTGACAGATTTAATCCTTCCTCTTCCTAACAGCAGTGCCTGGCAGTAACCTCAGCCTGTGCAGTGTCATGCAGCTGTGGGAGCATCCAAGATAACAGCTGTGGTGTCAGGCCTGTAATTCAGTATTGCCAGGAAATCCAGAAGTGGGAAATTATTTGACACAGTTCCACTCCCATTTAATGACTCTACAGTCTTAACATCATCATATTAGTGAGCTGTAAAAGTTTCCAGGCAGACACTGTGCAGTCGGGGTGTACACCTGTATTCAGCACAATGCAAGTGACTCCTCACTCCATTTCAATAGTTTCATTTCAACGACTTAACTTGAAATTCAAGTAGAAAATGTGTAAATACAGAATTTTTTTTAGACTGCATCAAATATACCTCAAGACCTGGTACTCCCCAGCTTGCTTTTCTGCCCCCCAAACTCAGAGGTTTAAAAGTGACGATATCTTCCTACATACACAAAAGCTCCCTCAGTCACCCAAGCACAGCAAAGCAAGTCAGAGGCAAGAGCAAATGATGGCCAGCACACAGCCATCTGCCACAGATGCATAAGCCAAAGAGACTCAGGACAGTCAGGTGCATAGTATTACACCCACCAATACTGATGGAATCAAAAAGGGAAACTAGTTCCAAGTGAGTATTTCAGCTCCCTCCCATCTCTTTTCTTTAAGCCAGCAAACTTTACGATGATGATTGCCTGCGTGGACAGGTTTACTTGATCCAAGGACACAGGCAGCTTACCCTTGACACACACACTTTTACAACTGATAAAGGCCAATTTACCTCTGTAGTAGCTCACTATCTCTTTAGTGTCTCACTAGTCAGAAGCTGCCACTGTTCTCTGTATGCACGGTTGGGAAACCATTCCTTTCCCCTTATTCGAGCGTCTTGCGGGAGCAGCCTGCTCTGTGAATCCCGCTGTGCGAAAGCCTGGCTTTCAAAAGAGCCCCTCGTGTCCTAATGTAATCCCCAAGTAACATTAAAGGCCTATTTATACCTTAAGTAGGGCAGATCGTGTGTTAATTGCCAAGTGTCTGGTGAAAAGAGGAGGATTATAGTGCTCTGGTAGATAAATGCAGCACGCAGGAGGCGAGGCCATGGATAGACGAAAACAGATGAATCCATGTGCGCCATCTCTGCTGGCTGCAGGGCACGCAAAGATCCAGCGACACAATCCCTGCGAGGCTGAAACAGAACATAAACCACGCTGGCAATGACCAAGTGGCAGTGCTGGCGAACACACAGTCTGTAGAGCCGCACTGCAGTCACGTCTCACACCAGCTCCGCCTTGCCCCGCGAGAAGAGCTGAAGCGCAAGCAGGTACCAGCGGAACACAGGTACACTTAGGGTAGACACATGGGCCTTAAATCCTAAAAATTCCTCTAGAAAGCTTGGAGAAAATATGTAGCCAAGGAGCTTAAAATAGATATGGATGATCAACTACCCAAGAGTCTGCTATTGTCTCCTGTATGATTTTCCTCACCGACTAAAAATAAAACCATGCAGGTATTTTGTTGTTATTACTGACCTATTTTTTTTCCCTATCCTCATCCTGAGGAGTTGCTTGCCTTAAAATTATTTGATAAAGGAATAACGTAAACTTCATCTTAGAAAGGCAGATCACCAACAATTCCCACTGAGTTTTAACTTTTTCCTTTTAAAATATATTTTATGTATGCAGGCATTATGCATCTGGCTTGCTCTCAAGGAATTCTTAAATGGTTCCCTCCTGAGCTATTTTACAGTTTAGCAGGAGTAACTAGCCAGTGCAACTGTGTTAGCAGAATCCACTGAAAGGCATTAAGTAGTAAAGAAAACACTTCATATTCTGTGCCAGTTACTCTGTTTACCTCGGGGTTAGGTAGGGAAACAAAACCAATCTGTATGTGGGCAGTAATAGCTGCTATCTCCACACAGATTGCCATGGTTATTTCTATAAGATGGAGGGGTTAATTTTCACAAGTATTTCTTATATATAATTATTTAGATGCACTGACTGACTTAGTCATCTACTGTTTGATGCTCTACAAATGCCAAGTAGCTTGCCAGTTCCTCAATACCACACATATTACGCTAAAAACCATGCAGAGGGGTGATTATGCACCCTAATGTGCTAAGTGTAGGAAGACATTTACTGTGAAAAAGTTCTCTTGCTTTATGCTTTTTCATTAAAAGGTTTGTTGCCTCTGGAACTGGTCTGACATAATGCACTTTAAATATAACCTCATTATTTACAGAATCAGGGCCAGATTTACAGGTATGTAAAAGAGGCAGACACCTTAGCAGTGGCTTTACCTCAGCAGCTCCCACAAGACTGATGGATAATCTGACCTTTAAAGCTACCTTTCACTCAGCACTAAGAAAATCCTCCCTTGACCTGGAGGGCAGCTGTCAAGAGAGAGAAGGTCTAAGGGAGCAAGTTTCTGACAGAGTATCTTTTACCATGAGCATGTCTGAAGTTTCTGCCATCAGCCTGAAGTCCTGGGGGTGGCAAAATGTAATTGCACAGGACACCGTGACAGGGTTTGGTGGGGGTTTTGTTACTTTTTTAGTGCTCTTAGTCCACTAATGGACTATGTGATTAAAGGTTAATGTCATTATAAACGCTGCAATTAGCTACTGCTTGGCTCATGTAACATTTCAATGTAACATTTCAGGGGTAGGTTTCAGGGGAAGAAGGCACCCAGCCCCTGCCCCCCACGGCTGATCAGCAAGGCTGGCTTCTCCTACTATTTTTAATGAAAACAATTATCCACTAATTCCTGCTGCTATCATAGCTGCAAGAACAAGAGCATGCAGCGCTGACTCTTCTGGATGCTTCCCCCACAAAGGGTCAAACACCACATACAATCGACAGGAAAACTCCAGATTTGTTGCCTCTCCAGTAAGAAGCTCAGTTTACACTGTCCCCTTTATGGCATTCATCTGCCTCATTTCTGTCCTAGAGGATTACAACTTCCAAAGGATTTTCTTTCCCAGCCTACTCCACAAAACCTTTCCCAGCAAGAGACCCAGACCTTGCTCTTCCCCTTGTATGAGCTGGAGAGGTTCAGCATGGTATTAAATCACGGCAGACTGTTGAAGTTTGGATGGCTGTAACTCAAGAGCAACCTTGTGTTACTGAAACATCCCTTTAGTGGGAGATCTACAATACAGACAGCACAGCCAGGCAGCCCAACAGGAAGCCAAGGAGAAGCTCAAAAAAATAAAATGGCATCACACTACATCACCATCACATCCATCCTTTAGGATACCAACAAGACAGCACCCCACAACCTACATCTCCCTTTGCCAGGGCTTGTCTGTGAGAACGATTTACACCAACTGAATAGGAATCTGAGGAGCAAGCTTTGGTCTGTTGAGCACAAAGCGCTTCCTCTTGTGGAAGGATGAAGGATGTATTGGAAGGGGCTGTCAGGCAACAGCTGTCACTACATGAGCACACCTACTGCCGTACTATACAAGATGTACAGCTTTTCACTTGCCTCAGCTTCCCCACCTGCAGGAATCACACAGTATCACAGATATATATGGTACTCCAGATAAATTTACTCTTTTTTCCCTTTCTCTCTCAGTGCATCAAGATAAGCCTTCCTGCAAAGAATTTGCTTTTTCTTAAGTATCAAATCAGTGGCAGGTGTTCCATGATGAAACCTACTCAGGTTGTGCTCTTATGAAATAATTTCCTGCTGGAAGAGCTCAGTTCATATCAAAAATCTCCAGTCTGTACAGAAAGCTTCACTCTCCAGTACCGAATTGCATCCCAAGGCTCTTACAACGGCTGCTTCTGACCAACAGTTCATAGATTTCACATCAGACTGTTAACAGTCCAGCAGCAGTAATGTGTATAAAGGTAAGCACTGGAAGTGAAACCAAAGAACCAAAACACTCATTCTGTAAAAAAACCCCAAACCAACAAAAATCCTATTCATCAACTCAGGACCTAGCATGCTGTGCAGCAACAGCTGGCACTTGCAAGGATCTACGCTCAGGGAAATGGCTCTCTGACCAGCACAGTCTAGACCTCTCTATCAAGAAAACATTCCACAACTACAAGAAGTATTTTCAAGACACACCATTCAGTGTGGACACAGGTAGCAGAACTTCACCTTAACTTCATATTCACCTGAACGTACAACAACTGAAACTGAAGATATTCTTTACTTCCTGTAAGTTAGAAGAACTGCTAAAACTCTAAGTACTAGCCTCTTCAACACTGCCTAAGACAAGTTTTGTTTTGGAACTGTCTGGCATTCAAGGATCCAGTCATGTGGGTGAAAGCACTGCTTGGTGCAAGGTGAAGAAAGCATCACCTGCGGCAAATACCAACTTTTGGACTTTTTTGAACTTCATGAATTCATGGAACTGTGTGGACTCTTCAGTGCCAGATCTCACATTTCACATCTCCATAAAATAGTTCTGGCACCTCATTTATGTAAGTGAATCAGAGAAAAATAATCCACATCCTGCAAGCATTCACACAGTGAATTTAAATGCCCCGTTCCATTCTCTCCAGTCAAACGGAGAAGCGATTAAGTATCACACACACCCATTCCTCCCTCCAAGGACAATTAAAACACGTTTCTGCTCTTCATTCCATATATATGAAGCAATCTCTCACAGCTCTCATGCTGCTAGCTCTGCTATGTTCTCTGGGAGTCTCTCACACCAAGTACAGGGGAGCAGTGCAAACTGGTTTCACTCTGACTGGATGCTCTGCTTGCATTTCAAAGACAGATCTTTCAAATATTTGAATACTGCAGGGTGAACTGTACAACATCTTCAAGTCAGTGATAACACAATACCCATTTGGTACATATTTTTCTCCTTTCCATTAATTTAATACAAAGTCTTTTATTTAAGGCAGTTCAAAGCACAGGGGCTACTAAGATTATATGAGAAATTACATCTTAAAGATATAACTTTGTTGGTTGTTGTTGGGTTTGGGGATTTTTTTCAGTTCACAGAAACAGCACTTGAAATATGGAAACAGCATGCAAAGAAGTTGCTGCAATTACTCCTGTGCTTGGACCTCTGGGTTTTTTTAATAAATAGAGTGTGAAGTTAAATGCAATAACCATAATCTCTGAAGCAGCAGCATGGAATTTCCTACATATTTTTAAGGTAAGGACGAGTAGGAATGATGAATGTAAAATATATTTCACCATTTTAAAATTTCACAGCCAGCATAATGCAAAAAGTACTAAGAGCAGAGACTGGGAAGTTCTTGTAAAGCACAACACTTCCAAACACCATGACACAGTTTGTGTTAGCAGAATATTTCCAAAAACTATCTCCTTCCAAAGTAAATACAGATATATTGGAGCTGGAAAAAGTATTTTGGTTTCATTTTATGTATTTTCTGTTCCCAGAGTTGAAATAGTATTATTTAAAACACACTAGGAAAACATATCTGCTTTACATACCCAGGCCAAAATCCTTGTTGTATCATTAAAAATTACATGCGTTTATGAAGATGACCACTGGATAAAGGATTAAAAGAACTCCTCACATCATCCAGTTTCCCCTAATAACAACAAATTAAACAACGTAAATTATTTGAAGATTAGGCAGGTATCTACCATTTTGCATCTGAGTAACCTGCCAAACAAAACAAAAACACTATTTACAGAATTAATTTGATGGGAATGGTGTTAAGCTTCCTTACAAAAATGATGGGAAATATTATTCTCTTCACTAATGCAATTTAAATATGCACTTTACTTCAAAGTTAAAATGCATTTACTTCTAAGTTTCCAACTAACTTCTAAATGTAGGATATTTACTAATCTACATGTTCACTCCCCAAAGAAGTAGCTAAAATACATCAGTATAGAATGGTGCATTTTCACCACAGTTGCTCTTTTTTGCACCTTTTTTAAAAAGATAATTCAGGGATTTTTTGAGAAAATAGAAGAGTTTTGCAAGGAATATAACACACACGAGTATTTTGGTTCTCTTCATAAGTCCTGGACACTAACTTCCAAGAGCAGTGTTTTATCTCACAAGAGAGTTTTCCTTCTATGAACGTCTATCCAATTTCTTTCACTTAAGCTTTGGAGCTCTTTCAAAATGATAAAGGCAGAACACATTTGGTCATTTTCTGACAGAACCTTGCACATAAGTTCTCTGAACAACACTTTTTCAAAAATATCCCATATCTACTAAACATATTCCAAAAGCCACCTGAAAAAGGCCAGAAAAATCAGTATTTCTATATTTAAAGACCGGACGAACTTCCAACATCACCTCAGGGGTCTCATGAATTTGATTCCAGCTTTTTAAAGGTCAAGGGACAGGATCCTTACAACATTAAACACTATTGTACCATAGACTCAACTTCCCCACAACTCACCTTAGATTCCAGAAGTCTGAGAAAGCAGAAAAGCAGGTCAAAGTTACTTCTGAAGCAGATGTCACATAACAGGAAAAATTATATCCAACGAGACTGTTTGAATTAGTTGCCACAAGTCTTTAGAATGTTCATTAATTCCTACCACAGTGTTCAAAAAAGGACAAAGAACAACTGCTTTCAGAGAAAGATTACCCAACCGATGGAAAATGTCCATTTTTTTCTCCTATCAGCCCATCCCCATGACCTGAAACCTTATCAGTCTTTGTTAGGTTTAAAAGCAGGTGCTGATGCAATCATTAGTTGATGTTAATTCAGCCACTAATCTCAGCAATCACTAATCAGCACAGCAAGGACTTTTTCTCTGAAAATTCCCAGTTAAGCTGCACATAGACAAATAAAGAAAGCCAAGGGCAGAATTAGAAGGAAGATCTCAGTAATCCTAGTCATTCCTTAAATCCAGACATCACAGCAAAGGAGAACTTTAAGATTTTTGAAGAAGGAAATGTGAAGTCTTTGCGAGAACATGACCTTTCAGAGGTCTTACAAAGAGCTAAGCATAGTCGCACTGGTGAAGTGACAGTGAATGATGGAAATGAGAGATGAGCACCAACAGTGAGGTGAACACAAACAGGAGGCACAGTCATGCAAAAATCCAAAAGTTGCTCGTGTTTAGATCAACAGAGAAGCAGCCAGGTACAAACATGAGACAGCACAAACCAAGCAGAGCTATGTCAGGTCTGTACAGCAACAGCCCAAACAAACACAGGAAGGGCAAGTTCATATTGGCACACAGAGAAAACAAAGACATGAAAAGTGGAGCCCCAGCTGCATAAATTGCATACTTACCTGGATTAGACTGCATAAATTCAGTGACTTTGGGTCCTTTCTTGTGGTTTTGTCAAACTGTCTTCATCTCTGGGGGTATCTCATGGAGTTGCTTACCTGCACCAGTGCAGCTCCCTCCAAATTAATTTTCAGTTTAGAGCTAAAAAAGAACTATCAAGAGCCAAAAGCAGCAAGCCTTCACACAATCCTCAAGGCAACAAACTGCAAATTAGTTAAAAATTAAAAACTGCTTAGCACTGAGGAATTTTTTTTTTTTTGCCGTGATAGGCCTATACCTAACAATAGGCAGCACTGCTTTTACCTTCATCTTCCAGAGGTAAAAGTTGCCTACTTCAGTTTGGTTCAATGCTGTAACTAATCTCAAGTTTATATTGCTTCTGATTTCCACTGAAAGTACCAAAGAAAAATGACTGGTTTTCTGGGGCTAATTTTACTTTTTAAGATTTAAGCCAGTGATTATGGCTGACAGTATACAAAAACTCACAGATGAAGTGGCTGACTGAATTCCACTTTGCACATGATAGCAAGAAACTACCTAGCCACTAATAGCCAGCCTCTGATGTGCTAAAAGAATCAACAACTTAACAGCTACTTAACAGTTTGTTTGGTTTTGTGGTTTTGGATTTTTTTGATGTTGCTTTTGTGTTTTGGGTTTGTTTATTTTTTTTAAACCACCCAAATAGCAACATCAACATCAGATTCACATTTAGGGCCGTGAAAAACATGGATATTTTGGCCAAGTCTTGCAAACGTTTGCATGCAGGCTCAAACAACCACACCAAGATTCAGCCTTTTAAGAGGAGACTGTCATAGTAATTAACCCCTGATATGAGACTTCTGAGGTCAGAGTGACATCACTTATACTTGCATTTACTTCGTTACCCTCTATTCCATTTAACGTGTTACTGAGGAGCAGTTAAAAGCAGATCTTTATTTTACTCAGAGAGCAGATCTGAGAACTGACATGGACTACTTTGCCTCTGTTACAGAAGGCATAAAAATGAAATCAAGCCGAATTGACACAACAGAAAGACCCCAGATGGAAGAGGTACTTCCCACTCTCAGTGTTCTACATAAGTATCTTTGTGTTAGTTACCAGGTGGCAACAAAATTAAGACAGTGTAATTTTAAAACGCTGACAAGTTAGGGCAAATACATGAACCAATTTCATCATTCATTCAGATTTTTCACACTAAGAATGCAAAGTCAACACGCAAAGTTTTTCCCAGGCTGCTGTAATCTACACAGTATTTCGATTAAACTAAAAACATGACTAGAATTCATAACCAAGAGGATGCATGAATGGCAAGCAGTGATAACTTCAGAGGAAAAAAGCTGTCCTGATTTACATTTTGATGTAGCTGTGCAAGCTGTTATCCTTCTCTTTGAAAAATCTGTGTGTATGCTTCACTTCAATACAAGGAGGCATAAACCCTTGTACTCGAGGGAGATTATCCACTTAATGTAAAAAATCTACACAAAGAAGTGTTCATGGGACTGGAGCACATGGAGTACCAGAAGTCTTGCCAGTGGAATAAGACATTAAAACTGTAGCTCATGTAGAAAGCATTCAGGGGTTATGCTGTACAAGCAAATACAACAATAAAGTTCAAAGAAGTTACTGATTCTTAAAAATCTTCAGGTTATTTGTAAAGATGTCCATTCTACAGCAACACTAACTATTCAGGCAGGTTATTACCCTGCAATATCAATATCATGGAGGATTCCATTCTCCTTTTCCACTCACCTAAAAAACTACATTAGTAAGTTCAAAGAAAATCTGTAAAAGTTAAAAAGAATCTGTAAAAGTTCTAACATGAAAGCATTAACATCAGAGAAATTTCTATTCAAAACTCTGCAACAGTGAAATGTCATAGGTTTAAGCTGAGATCTTTAAGAAACTTCAAGAAATAGGTTTATCAAAAAGTCAAGTTTAATCTTAATTTTTACTCTTTAAATGCATGCTCTCCCATAGCTGGACTAAGACTCCAGCTGAACTTGTCCTAGGAGCACTAAATGTTGTTTACCCTTTCCTTACTCCCACAGAGAAACCCACTTTGAGACTTGTGCTTTTCTGAGACGAAGGGGCACGTCTGCTACAGAACAAACGGAAATCCATTAACTAAGAGACCTCCTAAATCTTACTGGTTTATCTTTTTATATGGAACAGTTGCATTCTCTTAGTAAGTCCTTCCCAAGAAAATAGAAAGCATGTCACACTGTTTTAGCAATCCTTTATTGAAGATAACAAGTTGGTTATGTTCACTGTATTGTATGAAACATCACAATATCATACTGGGAAGGTACTATCAGTACAGGGTTGGACCAGAGCGGACAGTCTGAACAATAAACCATTTTGCATTCTTCATTCCCTATCTTTTAACAACCCCAAAAAAACCAGTAAAGGGACAAATACCTGTTAACATCATCATTTAAAACACTTTAACTTACAAGGCTAAAATCTAATGAATAAATAAAATATACTGTGGCAATAATCCTCTCTAGACCAAAAAAAAAAAAAAAAAAATTAAAAAAAAAAAAATCAGATACACAGTGAATCAAAATGACTGGAAAAGCTGGCCTTCGGCATCATTATGAAAGAGCGTGTGGTTTTTACAGACTCACCATGGGGATAAAGTTACAGAAAAATACCATGAATTTAATTTCACACAAAACCAGTTGATGACTGTCATTAGCTTAAAACTACACACAAGGGCAATTACATCCTCGCTGAAACACAGTTTAAACAAATAGGAAAATGTTTACAAGGCATCCACAGCATGTAAATCATGTACAGATGGATACATTCATTGTTTCCCCTCCCCAATAGCTTTTATTTTAGATAAATACTTTACTCTTCCCCATTTTCAGCATTTACTGGACTCATTACATGCACAACTCAAAGAAGTCAGAAAAAAAGTCAAGGTTATTGCAAAAATAGAATTAAACTAAGAATCTTCAAGTACCTTACATGACAGCCACTCTGTACCATGCCCATTGCTTATAAAATGAAAGGTCATTGAACCCATGAAAATATCTCTAATATTTTCTTAATTTAAAATAGATAATTTTAAGTGTATTTATAGTAATCTCAAAGTGATAATTTGAACTTTGAAAATAATGCAAACAATTAAAAATTATACCCATATTACACAAGACTTCTGTCTGTATCTTAAGCTGAAAAAATCAAAAAACTATAGAAAACCACATATAGAACAAAAAAATAATCACAATTTACATTATAATAAAGGCAAATTTTCAGCATTTTTAAAAAAACCTGCAGCTGTGAGAGATGTCAAAGCAAGTCACTACTAACTATAAATTCACCAGTTTGGTTTTTTTAAAAAGATTTTCTCTAGCAAGAGTTGAAGGGTGTGTTGTACACATGCGTAAAATTCTTACTGGTTTTAGATGCCTAGAATCTTCATATATTATTGCCAAATACACTTATCTTCAAGCAAGCAGTAGGCAACGTATCACAATTTGGACACCGCAGGGAAACCTAACGGTCTGGTAATACAGGTAAAACTGGAAAATTAAAAAAAAAAAAAAAAAAAAATACACATCTGATAGCATATTGCCCAATTGAAATTACTTCCAAGCCACAGAGCTGCAAAGCCTTCCAACTCGGTAAAGTGAAATAAGAAACGTCTCAAACAATTACTTGTGTGTTGCATGTTTCATTTAGCCACAGTGTATCTTCAGAGTACACCTACAATCCCGTGCACCTCAGGTACATACACCGATCTGCTGAGAGAATATTCCTTCCTTCCTTCTTTTTTAGGGCCAAAGTTCATTACAGATGTAACAGTATGCCTGAGGCTGGTAAAAATACTGTAGTACAGGCAATGCTAAGAGTGGCAATATCAGAAAACACAAAAATGAACAAATGGAAAATTCTAATATCTTTCTGCCCATTTCACAAAATGTTGGAAATCCACCAGAAATTTTCCCTTGTATTGAAGAAATCAGATTTAAAAGTTTTTCCCCCTTTCAGAATCAAAAGCATTTTAGCAGATTTGTAAGGCTACCACGGATCTTCTAGATCTCCAGAACCCTACAGGAAAAGAAGAGGAGAAACATTACTACTCACCAATACAAATGAAAACATTTTGTTGCACTTTGGATTTCAGTGGCATAATTAAGAATACTAGTGTAAGACAGAAAACATTTTCCTTGTTTTCCATACCTGCCCACTTTCACACACAAATACTTCCTGTCAACATCATGATGGAATTCACTTTTATGAAACATGAATCCA